GGCTCTCTTACACACGCACTCAACTAACCGCCGCCGCTGCCATTAGCCTGCGCTACATGCGGTACGTACTCTGCTGTTGGGACGACTACATGCCTTTGCCTATTGATGCTCTACATGTAGTATCGTCTACTCGCAAACTCAAAGTTACTGCACCTCTAGCACCTAGCGCTGTGATCACTAACCACCGCGACAATACTCGGCAGGTCTTGCGTTGCTTTTTACCCCATGGTCTTCCTGTCTGGGGTAACGAGTCTGTCGCTTACCCGCCTGCATCACGGACTGCCTGACTGCCTGACTGCTATAGCTGAAGCTACCGACGACCCGAAATGTCGTGCTCGTCCACCAACCACGACACGATAGCACACACCAAACCCCCACGGCCGCCTCACAAGCCTCATTTCCAACTCCTAACTTCCGTCAGTTGCATATTCGAAACATGCAGCCTGTCCCGTGACGGGCACCGAGCACCGGAGTCTTCTCATACCGCAACTATGTCTGCCCTACCCAAGGCCAGCCATCCTTGCAAACGTCACGCCCGGCTCGCTTCACGTCGTGAGCGCTCGTTTCATTGGACCCTGCAGCAGCTCATTCTCCCACGTCGTGCTCAATGAGGGATCCCGCCCTACACCAGTCCCAATTTCATCCCACTTGCTGTGTCACTCCAGACACCTCATCACCGCCCCAGCGAAACACGTACCAAAGACGTCGTCCCGTGGATTGGGATTACGACGTCTTCGAAATATCACCGACGGTACGCGCCTGCACTCGTCATGCTTATGCTGACTGGCCTCCTCGGCGAGGGCGGAATCCGTTGGGGCGCGGCTCTCCCGCTGTCGCTTGTTTACAACACCACCGCCAAGCGCCATTGGCGGAAGGCACAACCGGTGCAACTTCCGACTTGCGAGCGGCTGGGTGGCGACGTCACTCACTCTGCCCATCCATCGCCAGACGGCCCCAGCCCTGAGAGGCACCTCGTCTCAGCTCTCGTTGCCAGCCACCAATCCAGCGTTCTTCCGCCACGCACGGTACCGTCAGCTGAATCGTCGCTCCCAACCCGAGACGAGCGCATCTTGGTACAACTCTTGCAGTAAGTGTGGCGAGCGACGCATCGTCAGATTCACGATGCCCCAAGATCGCATCAGGACTCCAGCCCCAATCCTGGCTAGCAGCCTTCACCGCCAACTGCCGCCGTGACGTACCCGGTATAACAACGTCTGCTATCCGGTAGCGCACGACAGTGCATCATCTCCTAGGCTGCTTCCAGATGTATTGCATCTTCCGATCTTATCAATGTCCAAACTGCACCATGGCCCTTTTCCGCCGGTTCACAGTACCATGGGAAGACACTCTGGGGTATCGGCTACAACGGCTACATCTCCAGACAAGCACACTGTCATGCCAATTGCGGGGTAAAAAGTAACTCTGGTATCCAAGTACGTCGACGTAGACTGACCCGAACATCAAGCGAACGTTCTGTACCAACATCTGTGACGACTCCAGCAAGCAGGCATGAAGCCAGCGCATGGCACACGCAAACGCCCCAAACGCTCCCGGAATCGGATCCATCAGTGTCCAACGTTGCGACACTACGTGGTTAGAAACGGCCCTTCATCATGTTCACAATATGCGCGTCATTGCTTTTGGCGTCAGGCACGCCTACCCCAGGGGACGAATCGCAGACCACAGCAACCCGTGCTACTATCGTCTAACGTCAGTAGTCTAATTCACCTCGCTTAAAGGCTGAGCTCTCGCTGTCACGTTGTCGACAATGCAACACCAAGCAACACGGATAATGACTTATCCCACTCGGTAGTCGCAATTTTCATGAAATTGTCCGAAACATGATCGCTTGTGGCGCCTCACACGATGTCTCGAACCCACACTGCACTGTCTGATACGTTGTATCCGCCATCTCCACACCTCCACCTGCAGCGCCATGCATGATTTCAAGCTTCAACGCTAGAACCTCTAGCGCGGGCTCGGTCCTTTCTTGGGTCACGTTATCGGGCCGCTACCATACACGCAGAGCACATTCGGCAACTGCCAGAGATCAAATGTTGACTTCACAGATGTGCAGCATGGATTGACATCGGAATACCGATTCTAGATTCTCCGACTATGCAATCGAAGGATTCCGGCCCTGGACAGCTGAGACGTTGTGATGCTGTCGCTCGGTCAAATACATCATCTTCGGCCCTACATCCATGGGCAACACGAGCGCACGATCAGCCTTGTGACGTCAACCTCGACAGGATGAATCGTTCCTCTAGGCAGCTGAACCTAACGCTGGCGAACTGCTCCGCGAACGATGTTGTTAGAGGCGATGGGATCGAGCATGGCCGACCTTATCTACCTGATCGGCAATATGCTAGTAATAGCTTCCTCCCGCACTTCGGGATAACTACATCCAGTGTGTTGATATGCGAGCCCGCGCGTCACCGTCGCGCATGTGTGCGGCGTGGCATATGTCATCCCGCCAAACCCTGGCTTTTGTGACGAAAGATGCAGCACTCATCAGTCGATGCTCCTCGGAACCGCAATCACATTCCAGAGGGACTGACCTTCCGAAAAGGTATACTATGGGAATTTGAACTCGACGATCGTTCAGGCGTAATGTGGTAGGTCCGGCTTGCTTTACCCGGTGGGATACACGTTGGAGGTGAATCATTTGTATTGGATGATCGTCGATATCGTCAGGCTTTGTGAGTAATGCTGTGTACATGACTTCTTTCGCTCACCTTGATGGTCACGGACGGCTCTTGACATCAGAAGACACGTGTGCTCATGTCAATGTATCTTCAACTTCCCCCTTCCCTCGTCAAGGGTAGACTTTCCTTTCACATAATATAACAAAACCAAGAATAGTAGAACAACCACATTTAACACATAACTAAAAACGCCGATCGCGCCTTCAACGTTTGTGTTCCTCCACCACCCAAGATAATTGATGGTCATGATAAGACTAAATATTAGCCAGATGCACACGAAAAGCGAGACCACGGACATCCCATCTAAGTCCTCTGTGATCTTTAAGCCCCACCCGTGGACGGGCCTTTGCTCATGGAACAACTGATGCGTAAAGCTCGGGCCAAACTTCTTGGGGATTCGGTCGCACAGTTCTGTTTCGTAATACTGTTCTCGATGATGCTGGGTTGTGTACCTAGCCCCGAATTTCCTCATCCTATGAGCAAAGTACGAGGCTAATGGTGGGAGAGGCGCGGACGCAGACTGGGAAGAAGATATGCCAACATCGCTCTCCAAATCTTGTGTCACTGCGGGATGTACTCCGATATGCACAGTCGGATAATCGGTGTTCTCGACAGTGAATTTGACGAAATCCACAGTAGAGATTCTATAGAATGGCAAGGCGAGTCTCCAATGATGGCGTCTAGCAGCATTCAAGTATGAACTATAGATCTGTTCTACCAAGCTTCCGTCTGTCTTCAACTCTGAGAGGTGGAGTTCAAATAGCGTGGCGGGTCCTCCCCGTAGCGTTATGATAAGCTCAAGAGTAGGGTCGCTGAGCAGACTGGCAATCTCAGAGATGAGGTTATCCATGGTATCCAGTGCACGCGATGCCGACGGGCGAAGAAGAAGCTCTTTTCTAAGCATATCCCTAACCAGTCCTCTGAATTGGCTGTTGAAGAGCCCCCAGGCAGAGTGACGAGGATCTAGAGCTGCTGTATCTTGACCTTGAAGTACGTCGTTGACGAAGGTCACATTGTCCGCGAATTGGCAACTTCCGGTACCTATTCCTGCGTTGTACACTTCGATGAGCTTTGGCCAGGGTCTAAGGATGCCTTCTATGAACGCGAAGCAACAGCCGAGAGAAAAGACATCAGAGGCTAGAGTGGGATCCTGGCCATCAATCTGCTCTGGGGCCAGATACTCGTAAGTTCCCTCATTTGATGTCGTGGCGCCATTGACATGCTCTTTGCTGATCCCGAAATCGATGATAATAGGACGAACCTCTACCTTCCCAGGTTCACGGACCTCTGCATGCAAAAGAATGTTGTGAGGCTTGATATCCTTGTGACGAATCGGCTTTGGCTGCTGGCTGTGAAGATACACCAGGCCGCTCAGGCACTGTCGCACGATACTCGGCCAAGGGTCTAGCCGCTGACTTTTGAACCAGGGACAAAGGGTTGAAGTGCCGTGGTGGTTCGCAAGGTCATGGATGAAGTGATCGAACGATACTGATGCCCAAGGTCTTGTCGCCAGGAAGATCGTGTGCTTCATGCGATAACCGGGAAGATCAATGATGTATGCCTGTTCGAGCTCGACAATGTTCGGATGACGCAACTGCCGCAGGAACTTGATTTCTTGAACAACTGATAATTGTAGTGCGGCTGAAATGGGTGATATCTCTTTGATCGCGTAAGCTCGATTTTTGCCGTCGAATTGCCGCGTCGAAGAGCGCGTCGCTTTATAGACCTTTCCGTGACCCCCCTCAAACGACTTTGCCGAATGATCTCGTACGTATGGAACTTCTTTGACAGTGTTGTATGTGATCACTCCTGCCGAACGGAGGTCCTCGGGAAGGGTCATCGATTCGTAAAACTGATGGCAAGCATCACGATGTTGGAGACGTGGTGGGCGGGGTTCACACGCCAAAAGCCCAAGGCAGCAGCTTAATTTGTGTGCAATCTCACTGGTGCGCTGCCCCTGCAACCAAAGTAAGTAATCGACATCATCATGCTTTTGTGGCTGGTCGCGTTAGCTGCGATTGGCGGATGCTCCGGTTGAACGCATCAACCCGATTCGCAAGGCTGGATGGATTGGCGTGCGACAACAGACACAAGGCTATCTGAGAAGCAAGAGTAAACCGCAACAATGCGAACTTTACAAACGACGCAAACCAGCAATGAAGAAAGTCAAAAGAGACGTCGAATATAGTCATAACTGTCATACCAAGCGCTACCTCAACTCAACGATCCGGATCAAAGTCTTCACTCCCCCCATGCGGCTTCCCCCTCCCTTTCCCCTTCTTCTTGACTCCTTCAGCCTGCACCAGCGTCCGCCCTCCCAGCCATCCTCTCCAAAACAGCCTTCCTCGCATCCGCCTTCTCCTTCCTCTCCACCCCCAACCAATCAAACACACCCTCCACATCCGTAAATTGCATGAACCCACCCTGTCTCCACGCATCCCCATGTATCTTCTTCCCCGTCTCATTATCCATCTCAGCAGTCTTCTGCGAACTGAGCGCCCGTCCCCAGCGACAGTACACCAATCCTTGCGTAAGCACTCTTACGCGTACACCCATATTCTTATACTCCGCTTTCTCGTAGACGGGATTGCTAGCGGTAGACGAACCATTCTCCCATCCACCTTTCCGACACGCAGTCACACCGTTAAAACATATAATTTGCGTCAACGCCGTATCACCCCTCGCACGCCTCTTCTCGGTTTCGCTCAACGCATCACGCCGCTTCTGCTCATCCTCGTCTACGTCTTCGTATTTATTCCGCATATTCCGTTGTCTCATAGGCCCATCGTTCCAACACTCCATAATCGATGAATCGTAGTTATCTTCTTTGAAGAGCGGGACGTGGTGGTATGCTGTGTGCGGGTCGAGGTGCATGTGCAGGGAGAGGATGCCGGCGGAAACGGTGAGGCGGCGGAGGTCTGCGAAGACGGAGCTGAGTGAAGGAGGTGGGATGGGGAGGGGTGTGGAGGCGGGGTATGTAGGTGGGTGAGCTAGGGTGAGGAGGGGCGAGAGGTGCGTCCATAGTGCTCCGATGATGGTGTTGACGTGGGCGTTGAAGTTGTAAGGGAGGGATGTCGGTGTGGGGAGGTGGGCAAGGATGGTTGTTGCATACCGCGCATTCCGGTCGAAACCTGTTTGTTGGGTTAGTTCTCAATCCCCATCTCTCTGGTTCTCGTTCTCGTTCTCGTTCTCCGCCCATATCGACGAAATAGTTGACTCACCGTCCTCGTTTCTAAACTCTCTCACCACCCCCCTCACAGCTCCCACACCCTCCTCCCCTCCCCCAAAAAACTCATGCTGCAACACCTGCTCACTTAACACATTCCCTATCATCGCACAAACCAGCGCTTGCATCTTCTCTTTATTGACGAAAAGATCGTGCCACCCGCACACCCCACTCGGCCCGCCACTCGCTACGCAATTAATCAGTTTCGCTGTCTCTGGTGTTAAACTCTCAAAGAACATCTTGTGCACGAATCTGTCGCCGTCGGCGGTCATGGTCGTATGCCCGGCATGCGCACCCTTCGAAAAATATTCCTCAGCAAAGTCTTCGATGGAGGACATGAGACCCCACAATCCATCCCTTACCTCCGCGTCGCGGAAGGCGTAGTCTGGTTCTGAGGGTAGTTCTGCGCGGATTCGGTGGGGTGAAGAGCTTAGTTCGCGGGCGCGTAGGTTGGGTTGTGTATCCCACTTCTCCTCCGGCGTCTTTTCGTGCCAATCGCGTGGGTTTTCAAAACCTTGGGGGTGGGTGGTGGTATGTGAGGGCATGGTGCGGTGGGATTGTGGTGGTTGCGGTGGCGGTGGTGTGATGGATGAGGTTGAAGGTCTCGTTGCTGTGTGCCGCGTGGTAGTCGTATTTAATCTTCCAGCCCCAGCCCGTGGTCTATGTTGTTTGCCAACAGGCTTGTGTTTGAGTCTGTCCACTTCTACTTCGATCTCGCCAGTACTAGTCACGTCTAGCCCGGCCGACGAAGTGGTAGGGGAGAACGATAGTTGTAAGTCGTCGTCGCTGCTGGACCAATCTATGTGATCGATCGCTTCGCCTTCGTTTTCTTCGTTCTCGGTCTCGCTGCCTGTGCATATCGACGGCGACGGCGACGGCGAGATTGCTACTTTGGTGCTCGTACCAGCCAGCGTCTTCCCTGCTTTGTCGTGTGTTCCTGTCCTACCAGGACTCCGCGCTTCCAGAGCAGCGTACAAATCGCGCGAAAGTTTGCGCACGGATTTTGGAGTCGCATACGGCCGGGTGTCGTCATCGTCATCTTCATCGTCATCTTCCTCCTCACCAGCAATCACAACTTCAGCTTCGTCTTGAAGTTGGTGCGCTGCCGCCTCCACCTCATCCAGCTCATCCAGCTCATCCTCATCCATCTCATACCCATCATCTCCACTCACCGTCACCGCCCCCGCACCCGCGTAAACAGCATTCTGGTATTCCTCCGGATCATACGCGTCTCTCTTCCTCTTCTCACTCGAGCGCGGGGTCGGTGTTTCTGGGATATTGCGCTTCTTGGCAGGTGTATATTTAGCGGGTGAACTGAAAAGGTTGTGGAGGAAGGACATAATGCGCGATCGGGGTTGCGTTGGCGGAGTAAAGCTATGCACTGTCTGCTTAGTATGATAGATCAGCCGTACAGAAAGGTCAGTCGCATGAATGCGATGGCTTGCGTTAGCGGCTCTTGTATGCCCATGGTGGTCGCTTTGTCTTTGTTGGTGCGGAACCGCATGCGGCAGTTCGTGGGAGCGTGCAGCTAGATGAAGGTTTGTGATTGTTTTTGCGCGGGAGGAACAAAGACACCAAGAATTGTTGCTGTGGTATCTTTGCGGTGCAGCGCGACAATGGGTGTCTTTGACGTGATGATCGCCTATTGTGTTGCGACGTTAGAGTACGATACGGTGAGGGTAGATGCATGCATCGCCCTGTTCTGGCTCACTCATCCAGCGATCAGATTAGCAGTGGGATACAGCAGGACACTTCGAACGCCAATGAGGAGAAACCACTATCATTACCTCTGTAGAGTAAAACCCGCTATGCTAGATACGCCTGGCTCGATAAGTAAATGTAGAGCGATGATGCAAGGAAACGCTAGATGACAACGATAGACAAAGAAATTTGAATTGAGTTTATGACTTGGGCGGTGGTGTGAAGTTCTTGTAGAAACAAGAACATAATGTGCTCTCAATCTGAGGCTTAAGCCTGACGTCGTCGCCTGACGAGCTCGTGCAAGCTGGTACTCCTTGTCCACCTGCTACGCTTTGTTCGATCTTGACGGCTAGTTCAAGTTAGTTGGTGTAGGTAAGATGGGAGCTGCCGGGCTTGCTTACCATATGGCCACGCCTTGTTAGCGACCTTTCCCACTGCGATTGTATCGTCTGGGTACGTCTGCTGCATCTTGGTGTATAAGATGCCCTGCATGTTTGTCGCACCGTAGTCGCACTCAAAGTCGCCTCTCTTTCCTCCAAGGCTTCCAGTCATGTTCACAGTTTTGGACCGCGTGATCTGGAACCGGTATCGCTCCGTGTCCTTCCCGGCGTCCAGCAACTCGAGGTCTTCGTTCTGGAACGTGGTGTCGAATGTGTCGTCCTGTTTGCCCGAAGAAATCTTCCAAGACCCTGCAGATCCGCTGATGTCCCAGTTCAGAATGGTGAGAGCTTTCTGTTGGTCGTCGTAGTAGTTTGTGTTTGGCGGGCATGTCCACGTGTCTGCGTCTGAAGTGCAGTCTGTTGTGACGGTGTCGAGGAAGAGCACGAACGACCAGCTTCCGACGGGGAAGTTTGAGGGGACAGCGGAGGGTGTGGAGGTGGTAACTGCAGATGGGGGATCGTCGTCGGTCGTGGAGGGAGAGTTGGAGTCGGGATTGGAAGCGGGCTTGCTATCGGTGCCTGCTGGTGTCGTTGAGCCGCCTGTGTTCGCTGCGGGTGCGCTGCTATGAACTGTTAGCTAGATCCTCTGGATGTCAGCATGAAGTTGGCCTACCTCTTCGAGTCCTTCTTCAGTCCCATCGCTAGTCCAACGCCCAATGCCACCATCAGCGCAATGATCAGGGCGGCGACCACGGCAAGCTTCTTCCATCCCCAAGCAGCACATCCTCTCTGTCTCCGTTGCCGCACGTGTCCAAACTTCTCCTCATCCCGATCACTCCACACGCTGACACTGAGATTGCTCCCATTGTGCATGTCCTCGCTGCTTTCCCTTGGCGTGAGCAGCCTGCCACCCGTCAAGACCGATTGGATGAAGCCGGGCTTCTTCTCGACCCTGTGGTGTTGTACTGGTCCGACATGCTGATGCGATGGGTCGTTGCAGAATGTGCTTTCGGTGGTGACGCTGATTTCAGCAGCCTTGGACGAAGCCGACTTGCCTCGTTTGGCGTCGAGAATTACGGAGAGACGCTGGCCAGCCGGCGTCGAGATGCGCTTTGCCGGCCGGTCGTCACCAATCTCGTAGTGTGCCTTTGCGCGCTTGGAGCGATAGAAGTTCATTGGATCGGAGGCTGTGGGCTATATTGCTTGTGGCTCGCGGTGTATGGTGTTCTGTGTGTCAAAAGAAAGCGTCCAAGTTCTCCTGACTGCAATGGCTATCGCTCTGCGGGTGGCTTGCCGCTATATCGCGCTATAGCCTGGGAGCGTAGGGATGCCGATGACGAAGACGATGGGGGTAGGGAGGTGAGAGGAAGATAACAGGAGCCTCCCTCTCCACGGCTGTCAGGCGCGACGCACCCGCCTGAGCCATGACAGCTCTCGAAAGCTTGTACGAGACGGAATCTTGTTGACATGATCCTACTCAGGCTTCGAGCGTATGGGGCCTGCGCGATATCACGCGCTAGCGACCGTTATAGTATCGAAGTAAACTCCAACGGGCTAGGGGGTCACCCCATTCTCCTGACCATCACTCATGGAGCTGGTTCTTGGTGGAGCCGCACGGTGCTGCGTCGGGAACGGGTGCGCCATGCATGGGCAGATCATGAGAGCTTGACGGGAGCTTTTATGCAGACAGGATGATGGCGTGCTTGACATCTGGGGTTGAGCAGGTATTCCACGGGCTTGAGGCAGTCTCAACGCTCCGGAAATGATGTCGCACGAGTGAAGTTTGTTGGTAGTCCCGTTGGTAGTGTCGTTTCGCAGCGGTGTTTGTTTTGCTGAGTGATTAGGGGTCGCACGTCGCTAAATTCGGAGCCTGTTCCTGCATTCGGCCCAGGGATCCGGGTCCGAGGGATTTTGCCGCCAAGCCTCGAGCTTCACCTCACTCGACTTCCTTTCACGTGCCAACGTGTAAACGCACCCACAGGTGGCGATACTCAGCACGCTGAAGATACCTGAGTAGGCGGTATCACAAGACTGTGATGTCTGATGAGGATGAGCGACGCTAGCTGCCGAACGCGCTTTCCTCACGCGCTCTCGCTCTCACCGCGCGCTTCACCGACGCGTCACAAACGCGACTACCTCAATCATGCTCTCGCCTACCGTGACGTTTGCACACCTGCACGAACTTCAATCGAAAAAATCCTCGTCACCAACGTCTTAACCTCAGCTTTGCCGTGCGACAGCTTCCTGGTGCTTAAAGCAGGATCTCAAAGCAAATTGCTTAAGCTGTCTAACATCTCGCAAGCCACCCACTGCTAGTCACCATGTCACCCCGCGTAACCGTCCGCCTCGTCCCCGGTTGCTCTGACGGTGATCCTCTCCATGTCCCGCCTCCAGGAGCTCATACTCAACTCGATCCACCGACTCTGTACCTGGAAAAGATCGGTCAACAATGGATGGAGAGTCGAGGTGAGGCTAAGCCCGGTGTACAGTACTCGCTGGAAGGTCTTCCCTTTGGTTATACTCTCTGGTATCGCCCGCGACCATCCAAACCGAGCCATTTCGACAAGTATCTATATGGCCATCCCGGAAAGAAGGCATTCGACTCGCCGAATCGATTCTTTCCCCATTTTCTGCATCTGATGAACAACAATGGCAACAGCATAGGCTGCCCATGTACTCTCTGCAGTGGCAGTGCAGGCGTTCTTCCGAAAACCTCAGCCAACAGCTCCCAGGTACGCAGCTCCAGCGCGGCATCTTCCCGAAAGGCATCCAACTCGTCTGCTTCTCTGCCAAGCCGGCCTTCCAGTGCCCACAGCGTTCAATCGCTTTCAGTCCCACCGCCGCATAGTTTAGCACCACAGCACAAAGGTCGGCCAAAGAAGATAACTCCGGGTCTCGACACGACGAACGTGGACAGTGAGGGCACTCCCGACGTCTACAGGAATCTCATCGACAAGCTTCGCCGGCATCGCGATGTGGACGAACCCATACTTGAGCCCTTAAGTCCAGACTGGCGCGCTGAACAAGAACACCTTCCGAAATTTCTCGACGATATAAAGACACAAGACCAGTGGGTCCCGCGAACTGGAGACCTTGTGCTGTATATACGCAACATGCCCGACACCGTTGAATTGGTGCGAGACAACACCACCGGAGAGCTTCAGTTGTACGATGAGCGGCGCAAGCAGCATCTCGGTGTTCCCCAATGGGCGGCAGGCCTCGTCACCGAGCCGGCTACTGGTACCACGGTCTCCGAGCTCGTTGCCTCTACTCAGGAGCGCAACGTGTCCAGCATAGGCGTACGCGTCGAACCTATCCCAGATCCAAACGAGTCCGACAAGTCGCTCTCTAAGAGACACAAGTACGTCTTGTTGCGGCAGACAAGCCCGTTCATGATGTGGAGGGACCTCTTACGCCGTATCCCCCAGGAAGAATGGCATGACACTGTCAAGAACGCCCTCGCCCTGATGTCGACGCTCTCTCTTATGGGCAAGTATCGGTTTCGAGGATCTTGGCCCAACGCGAGCATATACTGCCATGGGATCTACGTTGGCGCCGAGATGCTCGCCGTGGGCGACACAGTTCGTCTCCTTCCCAACAAGCAATCTGGCCAGTCTGGCTGTACGGATGTCATGAGTGTGAAATCCATTCGGCTGAAGTGGACGAACTTGGACAAGGCATCGGATAACGACTATGACGAGGGAAGGCCGTATAACTCCGAGATATGGATCTATGGCTCAGCCTACACCAGCGACAGCTCACGGTCTAATAAGCTTTGGGTGACGGAGCATAATGTCGAAGCCCCACGTGTAGCCAACGACTATGCAGACTGGTACCCACTACACCCAGCCGACAAAGAGCTCGCCATTCCCTACTCCCGTGTTCTTGGCCGTCTACACGAGCGTGACGCTACGGCATACTTCCTTAAATCCGCTCATGACGACCTCCCAGGACTCGATGTCGGCCGACAAGCTGTGGTCGAGGCGCGCGCCTTTGCACGAAAGCACGACAACCGTATCGCTCAGGAATCCGATGCGACTTGGTACTGGGGAGACGACCGGGCCGACGCTCTGAATCTCCACACCATCAACGGCCTTGATGTGTCTAGATACGACCTCGACCGCGATGTCAAAGATCTCCGCCGCAAGTACCGCCAGCTAGATGGTATTGCCAGTGGAAACGCGAAGCCTACAGGCCAAGACATTCTCGGCGGCAGGGGATTGCGTACGTTCATGGCGCCGGCTTTGCCACTCCGCACGAGCGGCACAAAGGCACCAAGTGATAGCGGAAGTTCTTCTATCGCAAGTGCCAGCCAAGCCTCACGAAAGCGTACGCACATCGTTGACTTGGACGATGAGGACGATACCGAAGAGGACGATCTTGACGAAGAGATACGAGAGCGCACCAAGGTTGTGCAAGATGACCGCCAAGGTCCGATGAAGAAGAAGGCGAAGGTGATGGTTGTTATCGACTGAAGATTGACAGTCAGCGCGTCCAAGACCAAATGGTGAAGATACGAGAATACGATTCGAAGGACACATGTGAGGTGCTTCACTCTTGCGAGAAGAGATTATACATTAGGAAAATAGCGACGGACGAGGTAGACGCCGGGATGATTCCCAGGGCGACTTTAGGCGGGAGGATCACTGTTGATACCCATTACTGCGATATGATCGAGTAACTGCATGTTCATGTACTGTACCAGATTCACACGACATTACGGCAGATGCCAACACTGGCTGATTAGCGGCCACAATACTACACGAAGAAAACCCTCGTGTGCCTTACACATTGATGATGTACTTACTGAGCCACCCAAAGCGCACACTTAACTCCATCACCCACCTCCAACCCCTCCACCCTCTCAAACTCCTCCGTATCAACCTCATCAAGCTCAACGTCACCTTCCACATTCATGTTCCCTCTTCGTCTGCCGCAAAATTCGGGCTTGCGCTAGTCAAGTGAGCAACTATAGCTAAAGACTTGACGCTACGAGATTTGAGCCCGGTCCAGTCAAAGGCACTTGCTATCATTTGTTGAGCTTCGGCGCGAATGAAGGCAGCGGGCAGGTTTGAGGCGTGGTAACCAACAGGTGGTACAGGTGAAGGTGACCACCCTGTGGTCCCCGCCCTCATCTGCGAAAGAGTCATGGATATGAATCACGAAAGTGACTCATGTGTGCTTTAAAAATCGAGGATGATGTGCTGTAGTATCTCTATTACACAACATGGACGACACCAAAATTTTCGATCTGGCTAGCGAATGCTACAAGCTCTTTCGAGAGGCCTTCCCCGAGGACACACTACCTCCGAATGCCGAGATACCACTATACTACGCTCTTATCCACTGCCGGTCACGATTCGATACCTGGGCTGGCTACACGAATGCATTGGAAAACGGCGAGGATTCTTTGGACAAACAACTTGAGTTCAGTCCTGCAGATGACTCGCAGATTGTGGTCAGTATGCTGGAACTGATAAGGACCAGCTTACGAAAAGGCAAGACATCGCATTGCATTACCGATTGATCCGTGACTGACATCAACAGACCTGGTATCTGGCTGTGAAGCGCAGCCAGGACTGAGATTATCGCAGTCCGACGAATACCAGGCTGCGAAGTACAGCGTGCTGCATGCGATTCCCCCGTCACTGACACGGATATGCCTAACGGCCATCCACGAGGCAATGGACATACTGCAACGGATATCAGACACCGAAATAAGAGATGAAGACGGCTTCGACAGAGTTGCGGCTGCGGTCGTGAAAGGCACATACCCTGATCTGCCTAAGACACTAGTCCAACAACTAGGCTCATCTATCGCACGCAGGCGTGCTCGCCTACTCCGTCAGAGGAAGCATCAACAAGACCTTGACCTCCAACGACAACAGGGTGATGATGCACAGGCTGTGGCGGCCGAGGACACCAAAAGTGTCGCGCGGGCACAAGATCAGATAGTGGCTGCTCTGGACAAGTTATCTGTCACCGAGCATCCAGTCTTGGAGCCGAAGAAGCTATCGGCTGATGCTTCGACTGAGCAGAACGTCCGGTTTGGCAACACTACAGCATCCTCAGCAGCCCAGTCATGTCCTTACCCGGAACCTCCAACGCCATTGGAAGGTGTCGATCACGTCCGGTGCAATTGGTGTTTTGAACAAATCAGAGCTGGGGACCCTCAGCGTACAGGATGGTGGGAGTATGTTGTCCATGAAGGCATCGCGTATTGTCTGGACGCAAGCTTACGACAAGCAGATCGCACTTCGACCAAGACCTACAGCCCTACACATGCATCTCCGAAAGTTGTCAGAAGCCACCATTATACTTCGCTAGCATGTTTAGATGGCAGGAACACATGAAAGAGATGCACACCGCCTATTGGACGGAAAATATCCACAGATCCAGGGTCTGGTACTGCGACCTGCATCTGGACGAGGAAGGACATACAACGCTCAAGACATTCCAGGGTGAAGAATCTCTGCGCCAGCATCTGAAGGTTGACCATAGAGATCTTTCGTCGTCGGAGATTGATACTAAGGTCCGACGGAACACTAGGCGCCCATCTCGATCGCGGGATATTTGCTTGTTCTGCGGCTTCGACGCTGGCGCCAAAGTAGATATAGACAACGAATGTGGAGCAGAGATGGAGTCGAACACCAGGTATGCTGGACTTAGAGCGCGGAAGGCTAGAGATTTGGCCAAGCTGGTACTCTGGAACCACATTGCCCAGCATCTCAAGAATCTAGCTTTCATATCGCTGAGATGGTGCGAAGATGATAAGGTCGATGCCGGGGGAGTGATGTAAAGTCGAATGCTGCGCGAAGGGGAGGATCTAGTGAAGATGAGGAAGCGGCATCGGTGGCGGGGTAGTGCGCCCGTTCGTGCTAGGTCGATCAGACAGCCTTCAGAATAGTATTACATGAGCACTGAGCGTCGATGCCCGCTTGAATATTAGTTGCGAAAGTCGAGGTGAAGGAAGATTGCGACTGACAGACAATTAGGCCGATACGTACGATAGCGCGATTACTCAACACCCGGTTCCGAGGTTCCGAGGAACGCGTTGCGCCTCTTCCCCGCATCGAAGCTAATCATGCAACCAGCACCAACCCTACGAGATATGCATAACAAGCTTTCCGTAATAGATATCTTGCTACTTTCGTCCACGACAAAATGTGAAGGCAACTGACGCGACATCGCACCCAACAGGCCGCTTCCTCCTTCAACACCACCACAATGTCCAAAAACACCACCAACAAACCCGTCATCGCCGTCGTAGGCGCAGGCCCAGGCATCGGCGAAGCAGTAGCCCACCGCTTCGCATCCGAAGGCTTCGTCGTCGCCCTCCTAGCGCGAACAGAAGAAGCGTTACAAACCATGGCCGCGAACATCAACAGCGACGTCGGCACCGGCACCGCACATTACTACATCACAGACCTGCGCGTCGAAGGCACGGTAACATCATCCTTCAAGCGCATCCGCGAAGAGCTCGGCCCTGTTAACGTGCTTGTTTACAACGCCGGCGCGCGCCGCGTAAACGGACGTTCGCTAATCGATACCACGAGCGAGGAATTCGAGAACTTCACCAAGATCAACCTCTTCGGCGCGTTTTGGGCGAGCAAGCTGGTTATCCCGGATATGCTTGCCGCGGGCAAAGGTACCATTCTTTTCACCAGCGCGACGGGTGCGTTGCGCGGTATGCCAGGCCTGGCGTCGTTTTCACCCGGGAAGTTTGGACTGCGCTCGTTGTGTCAGGTCATTACGCGCGAGTATCAGGCGAAGGGTATTCATGCTGTGAACATCATTGTGGATGGGCCGGTGGATGGGAAGTTGATTGGCGGTGTGATGAAGAGGCAATGGGAGCGGACTGGGCAGACAGATAAGGCGGCGGACGTGGACAGCCATCTTGTTCAACCGAGGGATTTGGCGCATACGTATTGGTTCTTGCATACGCAGCCGAGGAGTACGTGGACGCAGGAGTTGGATGTTAGGGCTATGAAGGAGACGCTTTTTACGAAGCTGTAGATAAATCGAAATGTATTGGCTGTTCTTGGAATAAACATTCCAAAGACCAGATAAGATGTACGATAAAACTCCTACGTAGTGTCTTCAAAGAACTACAAACGAGCTTTCGTACTTTTTCCAGCTTCTTCCGCTTTAGCTTGTTCGACGAGTACCCTTCGCAGTATCTTGCCCGCATTGCTCTTTGGTATCGCTTCCACAAAGCGGGTACCGCCCCTCAACTTCTTGTGCGGCGACACACGCTCATTGAACCACTGATGCAGCTCTTCCTCCAGGTTCTCATCGCCCTTGTACCCCGCTGCCACAACGATATACGCTCTTGGTAACTCCGTTACCTTCGACTCACTATACACACCAATGACGGCAACATCAGCGACCGCCGGGTGGCCAATCAAAAGAGCTTCGAGTTGCGCCGGCGCAACCTGGAAGCCGTTGTACTTGATGAGTTCTTTGACGCGGTCGGTGATGTATAGATTCCCATGTTCATCGAACTTGGCAACATCGCCGGTGTGATACCATCCTTCCGCGTCGAAAGCCGCAGCCGTAGCTTGGGGGTTGTTGTAGTACCCTTTGAAAATATTCGGTCCTTTCAAGCACAGCTCACCTTCTTCGCCCATCCCCGTTTCCTTTCCGTCATTTACGACCTTGGCTGACATGCTGGGCAACAAGCATCCGGATGTGCCCAACGCCGTGGTCCAGGTTTCGATGCGTTGCACGCTCACGGCGGGTGCAGCTTCAGACATGCCGTAGACTTGGAGTATTTGAGCGCCGAGACGCTTGTGTATCGCGGTGATGATCTTGACGGGTATTGGGGCGGCAGAGGAATGCAGGTCGCGCAGGGACGTCAGGTTGTACTGGTCGACAATGGGGGCCTTTGCGAGAGCGAGTGCGACGGGTGGGACAATGTAAGCGATGGTGACTTTCTCTTTGTCTACCGTCTCGCAGAATCTCTTGAGGTCAAATCCTGACATGATGTGATTGGTCACGCCGTAGAAGATGATGTTTAGCACTAGTGTAGCAATTCCTGCATTTATCAACGCATGTTTGATTGTGAACTCATTTAGCTTACCGTAGATGTGATACATGGGTAGGAAGCCAATACCCGTGTCTGTTTTCCAGTTGGTGTTGTAGCCATTTGCCGTCGTAGCCTGAATGCTGTTTGCTACGACGTTCTCATGCGTCAGCATGACACCCTTTGGCTCGCCAGTGGTTCCAGAAGAGTACACCAGGTACGCCAGATCATCTTTGGGGTCGATTTTGACTCGGTTCATGCTGACTGACGCGCTCTTCAGAGAAGAGAAGTGCCGAACGGATCCCGATGTCTTGCCATCTCCGACCAGGAGTATCCGATCCAGAGGAAGGTCGACTTTCGATGCTGCCTTGCAAGCGACCTCAAGGCATGCCACATTCGTCAACAGTCCCTTGGCTTTCGAGGATGTCAACTGAGACACCAGCTCATCGACGGTGTACATGGGGTTTAGAGGACACACGACACCTCCAGCAAGTAAGACGCCGAATGTGGCAGGCGCGACATCGATATCATTCGGCGTCATGATTGCCAAAACATCGCCTTTGCGCCATTGCCATTGTTCCTGGAGGCCTCTTCCGAACTGCTCCGCGCTGGACCGGAGCAGAGCATATGTGAGCTTTCGACCGCTGGCAACGTCTACGAAGAGCACTGTTATCGTTTTAGACGCCGCTCGATAGATGTATGTGAAGACATACCATGATCATCCGGGTACTCGCGATCCGGTCGCTCGAGAAAATATGTCCATACATCGACGGCGGGTATGGTAATAGGCGGGTATGACGACTCAATCGGCATTGTTAGCAGTATAAGTATAGCAGGAATGACTGGTTATGCTGCAGCGTTCTGCTTGAAATAGACGTTATATTTCCGGTCAACGTGATCGTCATTGAAGTAGCGCATTCAAACATTAGGGTTTGGTACTTCAATGGCTACGTCCGTAACACGAACGCGTCAGCGGCGATCGCATGTGATTAGTCGTGGGTACCCATGCAGACATCACAGACCTCGGGGGAACCATTGACATGGGCCCGCCACTCAAGGCATGGTCAGGAATCTCTCCGCCCATGTTTAGGCAGTTGAGAACTCCTAAAGCATGATGTGACGCGATAGCTGTCATCCCGAGCCAAAAATCTCATGCGCCGGCTTGGTTGAGCTCACATAGGCGGGAGCGCGAGACTGGGTGGGAAGCAATTGATTATCGTTGCGGTGGAAATGCCGGATTTTATGATTAGTTGGTAACGTTTAAATCAGTGTGTTATGGTGATAGATGAGGGTAATCAACATTGAGGGTCGGGATCGGACCTCGGAAAGCTGGGAAAGCGCGCCAACCGAAAGCAGAGTAGACCATGATCATGTGATCCCGGCAAATCTCCGTGAAGTCTGGGTCGCGCAAGCAACGTGAACAGACATCGCGCTCTTCTCACGCATCAAGGTCATCACACAAGGCATCGGGAATCGTGAATGACTTTCTTTTGTTTCTTCCCTCATTCATGATCCACCGCTATGACGTCTAGCAGGCCGACGCTCCTCGCGTAGTCTCCGACGTGTCAAACTCCGCAACGGCTCAGCAGCCAGGCCCAAAATCGCCAGAAACATCGCGCATAACTTTTGACTTTTAGAATTCAGCGCATCTCGATCATCGTCGCAGAACTGCAGTCGTCAAGCTCTGTGTTCATCGCTTCCTTGGTGTCCTTTCCTTACTCCAATGCCTTGACGCCTTCCGCCGCAGCCTCTAGCATACGCGAGTCTTCTTCGCAGGTGCGCCCTCGTCGACTTCTGCGTCCATAGTCTGCTTCCGCTTTGAATCATCGCGCTTGACCGATGCTTCATCGCTATCATCCGTCGCAAACAATTCGCCCTCTTTGTCAGAGCCATTTGGAGCACCGTTGCCATCTTCCTGGGTGGATACAACGCCTTCTTCAGCGGTCGTCGCATGCCTTGCAAAGGTTTTCAGCACACGGACAAGTGACAAGAGACCATCGTCCCGACCCTTGTTTACGAATGTCTTGTACTCTGTTGCATAGCCACAATACAGGAGCACGAATCTCAAGAGTGCCTTAATGTTGAGGGAGAATGGCGAAATTATGCCGCTATCGCTGAGGCTGCCGAATAGTCCCTCGCCCTTGATGACCCTTGCGTTCTTGACGTATGTGTTGCGGGAAGAGTCTGTGGTTGTTGAATAATACAGGCCCATCTGCTTCCTGATAGCGTTGTTCTCTCGCACTGTGTTGTTGTATCTGGTAGAAGGTTGGACACGCTCGTCAAGCCAAAGTAAGTCTCCGATCTTCTTGGACTTCTTCTTCACGGCAAAGCCGACCTTGAGCGCGTATTGACCGGGACAGTACTCTCGAAACCTCGAACGCCTCAGGAGCTGGGAAAGTGGCCAGCGCATCCGGGCAAGACTGCTGAAGCGATACGAGCACCTGCTCTCTAGTGAGAACTTTGGAGCCCTCCTTCACGTCGTAACTTGGCTTCCGCGCTTCCAACTGTCGAGGCTCATCGAATCCCAGTTCAAACATGAATAAATGGCCCATGGTTCGGTTGGTGACTGGCTTTGGTTATTGGTATGGAGGAAAGACGTGTGTGGTGTAATGTAGGGAAGATTGGGTACAATGATATGAGCACGCTCTAGATATCGAGGTAATGGTGAGTATTGGGTCTTACCGAGATTGCGTCCCTCCACGTGGCAGTGAAAGCAGACTGGAATGGGGAGCCATCACTCCTCCTATAGCAGGTAAAACTGCCTTCACATCGACGACGCGATCGTACTGTCGATGTCGGGATATAGCTATTACGTCTCGCAGACGTCGATCGTCCTCACTACCGGCTTCGCAACTTTACGTATAGCCTCTTTGACGGAGCTACCGACCGCCTCCCAGTGCTCGCCGAGCCAAGTCAGATACAAATCAAGGTCCGTGTGGTGCAGTCCAGGAACCTCATGCAACAACTTTCGAACAAAGTCACCAATATCGCCACCTTCACTACTACCAAACAATGCTGCGTACGCCGCCTGATACATCGCAGACTTGGACGTATACTTGCCGTCACCGTCTGCTCCAGTAGCCTTGATCATTGCGTCGGCGTAGATCTCACGGTACATTTGTAGCGACGAAGGAGAGTGCGGCGCATCAAGAACTTCGTACCCTGGCATCCAGTTTAACGTCAAGAACTTTGGAAGGGAAGCGTAGCCGAGACAGCGTGGGGCGGTGGAAGCGCGCTCCCAGTCGATGATACCGGTCACTTCGCCGGTGTCAGGATCGCAGAAGACGTTTTGGAGGTTGAGGTCGTCATGACGAAGGACGAAGGACTCGTCGCTATCTCCAAGCTTGACTGAGATCGCGAAAGCGTCGCTTCGGAACAATGCATCCAGGACCCCATGAACGACGCCGGGCCTTCCTTCATGTCCCTCAAACGGCCAGACATCAAGCAGCCCATCCATGGAGCGCTCCAGGCTTGAGTCGTATACTGGCTTCTCTGTAAGGGCCTTCTCTATGTTCATGTCTTCGGCGGTCAGATCTGGATAAATATCCCACTCCCAAAGCGAACCAATAGCAGGCGTTCCGTTTGCGTCAACAGTGTCAAAGTCCAACGCGCCAATCTTGTCGAACTCAAGATGACGCAGCTCGGCCATGGCTTGGGCCAGTGAACGAAGTATGCGCTCACGCTTTGACGCCAGGTCCTTGGAAGGAAAGTCGACTGTGTCCCGATCCCAGTCTTTATGAATGGGGTGAGCGTCGTGCCAGACTTCGGAGGCGGATCTGCCTGTGCAGGCCTTCATCAAGATGTAAGGCGCACCTAACGTATTATCCAGCGTGTCGTCGTAGGCCACAACCTCAGGAACGGGACATTTGGTACGCTCGCCAATGAACTTGATAGTGCCAAACTCCGAACGCATCATGTATGCATCTTGCTTCTGCCAGCGAGCGGCAGTGCCGACGCAAGGAATCTTGACCACATATTCACCGTCGTTAGAACTATTGATAACCTGGTATATTCGAACGAGGTTGTAGCCACCCTCAAATTCGCCGCGGAAAAGGTAGTCATCTGCGCAGTACTCGGCGGAGGGGTTGAGATGGTGCCAAAGGGTTTTCTGGAAGCTCGAATGGTCGAGCGCACGGAGTGGCTCCCAGTCCGCGCGATCAAGCGCTTCGCCATCAGAGCACGCGCTTGTTAGAGAAGACGTTATCGAGCCGTCCGACTTGGGTGTAGATGATTTGTAGTCTTCAACCTCCTCGTCAGAGTTCGTACCGCTTGGCGAGACAGCCTTTTCGCGCTGGATGACGGTGACGACTGCGGATTCAACGACACTCGTGGAGTCGTCATTGTCGCAGGTACGCTCAACTACTTTGAGCCCACTTTCCTCACGATCCGTGGCGTTTTCACGCGAAGGCAACCGCCGAGATAGCTCGGGCGGCGTTTCCATGATGGTGCAAATACCAGAGATCACGTTGAGGCTTGGTAGCAAACCTGCAGTCTCTTGTGAAGCAACGACTTCGTGCGACACATCTGCCTGCTCTAGATTTCTGTTCTTGCGCTGGCGGGCGAAGCGAGCTCGGAACTTCTCGTAGGCGATGGATAGTACTGTGGGTAGGTTGGCATCTTGCTTACTGGGACGATCGCGATTTTGAAGATCGTTTGCAATGTCTGGTGCAGGCGGTGTCTTGCGAAGCCTGCTCTGGGAATTTTCCTGAGGGTGCTTGGAGCTGGAGCTGAAGTCCAGACCAGGAAACAAAGACGTGAGGCTGAAATGCATGTTGACACGGATATTTGGAGGTCGTTATCGGCTGGTGTGGGCGTGGTGTTCGGTCGATTGGCAGTCAAACTACCCGTAGCAAGGTAGTGTTTCGGGGTGGAGAGAATTTATAAGGCTCGAAGAAGAGAGTACCAACGCCAAAGTGGAGCCCGAGCTTGTCTAGCCCCGTGAAATGCGCGGCATAGTGAATGATGTACATGTTGACAGATGGAAACGAATGACCACGTAGCAAACGCTATGCAAGTATCCTATCTAAGCGAAAGGTTACAATGGTGACTCTTCCTCGCATATACAATCTCTACTATGAGCTTCCTTTTAATGCCCAGTGAATTCACGCAGCGATGTCGAGCCAGTTACCTATGCTACCAGAGTCTCCACACTTCAAAGCGGATACTAGCACAGATCATAACCGCGCATGGAATCAGCTCAGCGCAATGAATCGCTGCACTACAAGGCAGCAGTGTGATACGAATTTGCATCGGGGCTGCAAGGCCTCGATCTCTATACACTCTAGTCATACTCACTACCACCCGATATACACAAGCATACAGTTCCCCAACTTCAGTTACCCCATACATTAGCCAAGATGGTAAAACTCGCAGGAGGATGGATAGATCTTAACGAGAGATACGGAGAAATGTTCAAAGGCGACTTCAACCCCAACATCTGCAACAAGAACACCCTTAAAGTCTTGGGCCTAACACACCATTGTAAAGACTGCAAGGTTAGTACACCTGCAATCACACTCATGATACCCCTTGCATAACGAGGTCAACTTCACTGACCCGCTTACAGGCGCCTCCAACAAAGAAATGTTTCTGGCAATTGCATTTCGGTCTGTATAGCAACGCCCGTCGCTCGAGTCGAGACTGATGAGACTGAAAGCGTTCTGCGACGAGTGCGGCGAGCGCTTCACTGTCTGGTCCAGAGGGTGCGGAAAACATCCTTATAGCCACGGCTACAACATCGTTTTTAAGGCTGTACGCGATGACTGGCCGGCCTCGGAGATAGAGCGTCTATTGGCGACAAGTGGTACTGTTCAGGTCGAGGACATCGCGGACCTACTCGACAACGGTGCCTCCTCCCCTGGTCCAGATCCCGAGGACGACGATGTTGCTGAGCTCGCTGGAATAGTCGCAAACGCCGATATCAGTACGAACAGCGAAGCCTTCGAAAGCCCGGCCTCTCCACAAACGACCCCAGTGCCTGAAGCCAACCCTAGCGTACAAATTGAAGGAAGTGTTGCGTCGCTTCCCCCTGTCCCCACAGGCAAGACTTTCAGAACGTCGCAATGGCTTCTCACTGGGCTCAAGGGTAAAGACGCCAAAGGCATGAGACAAGCGCGTGCGGCGACCGGAAGAAAGATACGTCGGGACACAGAAGCTGCTGCGCAGGCCGAGATAGCTGCGGATGAACGCGTGAAGGAAGCTCAAAGAGCTAAGAGAGCGGCTGAAGTAATTAAGGAAGCAGAGCAAGAGAAGGCGAGGAAGGGCAAGACTGGACATAAGCGGAAGTAGGCCAACCTGGGCCACGAGTGGTTTCACCGCTCGACCTTTGACACGCGCGTGCATGGGACACTTGGGAGTTATAGAAGAACGCGGATCAAGAAAATGAATGAATTGTGCACATATTCAGCACCAGCTGCAGTGCTTCTGACTTAGTCCACCGACTACACTTGGAGAGAACAACGGCGCGACATACAATGAACAACATCGCATTCAAAACTCAGCGTCCACCACCCGTAAGATTGCTAATCTGCGTTATGCTCATGATATTGCCAGGCCCAAATCCAGTACCACCCCACTCCATCGAGCGCAGCACCTTGCGCATCCCAATGCCACTCGCCCCTTTCGGACCTGCCCCATACCCGAACCCAGCTACCATCCTCAACTGCAGGGCGCATGCCGGAGGCGTCGATGGGGAGCCTGTAGATATCTTTCTCGGGACGGTCGTGGAGGTGGTTCCAGTCGTTTGATCGCTTGAAGGGTTCGGTACGTGCTTCTCGAGAGTCGTGAGGCGGGCCACAGCGTAGTTGGCACTAAATTCGGCACTGGATGGGACACCGGACTAGGCATTGGCGTGGGTTTGCAGGGCGCAGAGCTTCTTGTGGTACTTCCAGTCGTTTTGTTGGCACTCGCGGCTGCAGTATGGTGTCGTCTTGCATTTATTACAACTCTGAACAGCCCCATATTTGTTGCATACGGCACAGTTGGACGGCATGTCGATAGTGGTGCTGGTCCCTTTTGATCGGAACGGATTTGGAACGGATAGGTAGACGAAGATGGCAACGAGTACCCAGACAAGCGCGAAGTATATCAGGAAGTATACAGCACGTTGGCAAGCTGTAAAGATATACGGAAAGATGCAGAGTACCATCCGTGGGGACGACGTCCACAATATAAACGCGAAGATTAGCGCTGAGACTGATAGCCCTGAGGCACGCTAGGTAACGAAACGAAAGCGGGCGCGAAGGTTTCATCTCGCCGCTCCACGTTCGGGTCGCCTCAGCTCCACTTCATGGAAAAGAGATAGCCTGGATGTTCGAACACTGAGGTCAGTACGGACTGAGATAGACGCAGTGGTAGTAGTTCGGGCCGCGAGTTCATGTGCTCGTAGCTCTCCTTAGCAGGAAGAAGCTCGCAGTATCCTAATCTTCCTAATTTGTCGTTCTCAACAAGGAGTACTCAGCGCTTAATAGGAGCCTTAGCATTGTACGCATAAGCAAATGAACGATTCGAGGTGTGGTCCGTGCGTAATGAGCAGCCCCGAAGCGCCCATCGTCGGCGTTAACACATGCGCCTTTTCATAATCCGTGCAGGCGCTCTTAATCCATTACGACGAGTTTTCGCGTTCCGTGATCATCATCTCGATGCGTCATATTTGTGACATGCCTTCATTGCGTATCGAAGGATGTGCGGGGATAGACGATGGGAGGCCGGATGCGGGGAAGCTACACGCGTCTGCCTCCCCACTTACGACGTAGCTCACGATCGATAACGAACAATTACAAGAGCGCGACGACTGGATGTGTGTACTTTTGGGGGACGCCTGAGAGCTCATCATTTCATATAAATGGACGTTCTTTTCTACCTAGATGTAGTGGGAGCTTGAGATTACATTCTACCATCGCACAATACACGTCACCTCCAGCAACAACATCATGCAAAACCCATCCATAGTATTGTATGGACCGAAGAACGCAAGGATCAAAGATATCGCAGTACCAGAGGTAGTTGATCCCCACGATGTGATCGTTCGCATTAATTATGTGGGAGTTTGCGGAAGCGACGTAAGAACCACCCTTCCATCATGCCACCCCCTTTCAACAAACTAACCAACCACCCAGGTCCATTTCTGGCACTACGGCGGCATCGGCAAAATGATAAACCCCACCACGGGCATCGTGATGGGCCACGAAGCCTCCGGCACAATCCACTCCGTCGGCCCATCTGTCACAAGCGTCAAACCGGGAGATCGCGTAGCTATCGAACCAGGCATACCATGCCGTATTTGCAAAGCGTGCAAATCTGGAGTGTACAACATGTGTCGCGATATCCGTTTTGCTGCGGCGCCAGGGCCGCCTGATACGCAAGGCACGCTATCAAAGTACTTCCGTAGCGCGGAGGACTTTGTTTACAAGATTCCTGATAAGATGGGGTTGGATGAAGCGGTGCTTGTTGAGCCGCTCGCTGTTGCTGTGCATGCGGTCAAACTGGGTGATGTGAAGCCGGGCGAGACGGTTGTGGTGATGGGCAGCGGGACGATCGGGTTATTCTGCGCGGCGGTCGCGCGTCAATACGGTGCGCATCGCATTATCATTGTCGATATCCTGGAAAAGAAGCTAGAGTTTGCGGTGAGCTACTTGAAGTGCGAGATCTTCCGCTCTTCGACCGACGCAAGTCCAGAAGATAACGCCGAAGCGCTACTCAAAAAGTTCGACCTCGTTGAGTATGGCATCGACACGACTGGCGGTCTCGTCGACACAGTCATCGAAGCTTCCGGTGCGACAACGAGTATCGATATGGGCATCAACCTTGTGCGCCCGGGCGGGAAGTATGTCCAGACCGGCCTTGGGAAGCCGAAGATCGAGTTCCCGATTGTGGCCATGGGCCAGAAAGAACTCATGGTGAGGGGGTGCTTCCGATACGGTGCAGGGGATTACGAGCTTGCGGTGGGTTTCTTGGAGAAGGGATTGATCGATGTGAAGCCGTTGATTAGTTCGGTGACCCCGTTTGAGAAGGCGACCGACGCATGGGAACAGACTTCAAGAGGAGAGGGTATCAAGAATTTGATTCGAGGGGTGGAGGGCTGATGGTTAATGTGGCTCAAGAGAAAGAAATTTCTTCTCAATCCATCTGCAACACGACATTAACAACCAAGCGTCTGTCCTTGCTTCGTCGAGCGTGCGTTGTCCATCCTCCAGACACATTTTGCCCACATCTTCAAATTTCTCCATGTGTGGTACACGCACTCAGTATCACGGTCCAAACAACAGCCTACCTTGCTATTGGGGATATCTGGGCGACGCTCGATTTTCTTAACAAGCCTTCTCACTGTCGTTCCTTCATGTGCAAAGTTCAACGAATCCGCGTGGCTCCATCGAAACCCCAACGGTGGAGCGACCAAGTCTACCAGGTTTGCGTGTCCATCAATCCAGAATACCGGGCAGGCTTGTCGAGCATTCTTCTTCCAGTGTTTTGGACAGACCTGGTCGAGAATGTCCGTGAGATAGAGGAACATGCTCATCTTAAGTCTCCCATATGTAGTATAGTGGGTATCGTGGTGTACATTGTCGCCTCTAGTGTGCTGAAGCTCGACAGCAACACAGATCTCGTCTACCTCAGTACCGTCATGAGTAGTTCCCTTCAGATTGAGCAACCCGTTCATGTTGATGCGAACATCTGTGGGGTTAGTGGCGCGAGTGAGTGCCACTTGGACTAAGATCGTTGGTAGTGCGGACGTCGAATACAGGCTTTGAGAGGCGATCAGTTCCACCAGATGATTCCGATGCCCGCCTTCGCGGACCCCCACCCCAGCGTCATATCTTCTCACCAAATCCGCGTCGCTGTAGTCACTGACCCTCTCTTTAGCCGTAAGCTCTATGACCACCGGCATGTATTGACTAACAGCTTGAACTAAAGATTCCCGGAGTGTGGCAGAAACATCGAAAACATTCCGATGGAAATTGGGTTTCCGGGCGGAATTTATGGGAAGCCGAAGACGATCTTCCGCGGTGATTGCGTAAGCACAGATCATGCCTTGCACATCGTCAGGAAGATCCGTAAGTGAATTGACTGGCCTCGCGGCGGACCATCTGACCACGCCAGACGCTGGGTGGATAAAAAAAGAACGGTGAACACTTCGCGATCCTGTGTAGTACTGGACCTGGCCGTCTTTGCTGACACGGTGCATAGTGACTGACGAGAGAAGCGATTCTGAGTTGGAAAGGCGTCGAAGATCTAACGTTTCATCCTTGGCAAGAGCCGCGAACGCCTTGTTCAGTCGGACAGTGCCTGCTACGATATCCGCAGGACTCGTGCTGTTGGGATGCATGCTTCCGGGACATTTGAATAGGAGTCTAGGGTGGGCGAAGGTAATGCTACAGCGTGGTAGGTCTCCATTCCAGACTATCCTTAGTAACGGCAGTAGGTTTTGGTCCAATTCAACCTGGTCACATCCCCAACCGCAGACAGTCGAGATGTCGATCACTACCTTTGTTATCAACCCCATCTGAGAGCCAAGTGAGGCGAGCCATATTGGCGCATAATTGATCTGGTGGTAGTCACCCCGATCGCTGGCTTGACACCGCCTGATTGCTTCGCGGTCACACCTCTGACCAACTCTGGTAACGAGGAAGGTGTTGTTGGCGTACAAGATGCCAACCGTTTCGTGATACATCTGGCGACAAGACTTCAGCAGGCCGATCCCAAGAGATGCTTCATGCCTGAACCCCTGCGCTTCTTTCCATTCAGAGTCTTGCCTCTTCTGCCAATTCTTCAGGCTGCGGGGAACATGCCTGCCCTTCCGAGAACCATAGCCCACTCTGTCATCTTCTGAGCTGTCATCGGCGAAAGACTCATCGTCTGGACGAATTTCATAAGGCCGTCGGTCGTAGTAGAAGTCGGAGTTATGAATGCGTATTCCAGGTCGTCGTGGCAGCACAAACACGTATTCGTTGATGGTGTTGCGTACCTCCGCCGGTAGCGTCAGGAAGGACGGCGCGGACGGATCTAGAGGAGCCGAACAGCCTTTTGGAATTTCCATGGCAGTGTATGGAAAGATGTGTGCGAAACGATATTAACGAGAAAAATGGTTGTTGCGAGGCAAGACAGAGCTGATGGCGGTCTGAAGACAACTGGAAGGGGCGGCACGGTATTCAAGCTAGGCTGTTATAGGTTAGCAAGGAAACGCGAAACTCACGCGTGCAAACTTCCAGCGATGGCCCATGATGCTGCTAGTATCGTTGATGCTACTCTGTGTTCATACCTAGCTATCGCTGCATTCTCCACCGATTTCTGTAGACCATCTCAGCACCAGTATCACAACGAGGTTATCGCGCTTCTCCGATGGCGCGTCCAGAACTCGTGATGTCACCCGCATTCTCCCCGGAGCATGGGCCCACTCACAATCCTTCAACGCCTCATCTTCTTTAGCGCATCATCAAGACTGCCCCATCCGACCTCTACACACCGCCTCAAATCGTCCCAAGCATGTATCAAACACTCGTCGCGCCTATCTATCGGACATGCAAAGTCCATGAGCTCTGCGCGCCGCCGAATGACATCAGCCACCGAAGCAAGTTTCAACTTCTGGCCTCCCGAAAAGCCAGGGACAGCATTGCTGCTCACGTCGGACTTCCATTTGGTTGCTCTTGTGCAACGAAACTCGTGCGGTCTCTCAATGCATTTGAGGATGGCGCCGAAGCCGTTGATGCGTATGTTGGGTGTGTAATGTTGGCGCTCACGAGCGTAGATGCTGTCTCGGAGGAGGTCGGTGAAGAAGAGGAAGACGGCTCGTCTTAGCTTCTCTATTGGTGCTTCTGAGCATGCTCTCTGACGTCCGTCTTTGTCTTTTATGATGATCTTGATGGTCGACCACATGTTGGCTTTGAGTATGGACACGCTGCTCAGGAAGCGCACGAGACCTCTCATGTTGATCTTAACATCCTCGAGACCTTTGTCGTCATCCAGGATGAAGTTGAGGTCGATGCTCTGGCCGCTGGTAAGCCCAAATTCGCCCCTGGCGATGTAGCTGATAGTTGTGTTGTTGATGGCCTCCGGCCAGAGCAGGGCGTCGAGTGCGCTAAATCTCTTGAAACTCGTCTCGGCTTCCTGACTGGTCATTGAGAGGGTCAACGAATACCCTGGTCGGATGAGAGACTTCACCGAGCAGGGAACCAGACTGAGAAGGGTGAGATCAAGTCCGTGGGTAGCTTGCGCAGTCAGATCCACGACGATGCCTTCGGGCCCAAGTGCTACATATCGAGCGATGATCTGTCGAATCGATCTAGGCAGGTCTGCGCGGGATTTTATCGGCTTCTTTGGCGTCCAGACAACTTTTGCTCCTTTACTCAGAATAGTGAAGAACCTCAGCCCCGAGCGTTTGTACTTGACGAAGTGCCATTCAGATCGTCCCACTTGTTCAAATCCAATCACGACACTCTCTAACGATCGCGAAACATGCCTTAGTCCAAGCATATCTTCTTTCCCGAGAGTATGTAAAAGAGTGTTGAGATCTACAGAGACCGCTGTAGGGTCACTTGCATCATGAATATGCGCAGAAAGCACTCTCCCTGTAGACTCAAAGACTATCTCGCATCTAGCTTCCGGGTGCGCCCACATAACGCGGAGGAGGGGAAGGACATCGAAATCCGCCACCCAAAGGCAATGGGATGGACACATGGCATCCGTGTCAATGACCACCTTTCGCAGGAAGCGGTAGTGATCTCCAATAGAACTCATCCATCGAGCAGAATAATTCAGTTGGTTATATCTTTTGTTATCGTAGAATACTGGAGCATACCATGCACGATATCTGTTTGTAAGGTAGTTGATATCGTGTCTGTCGGTGTGTCGACTGAAAGCGAACGTGTTGTGCCCGTAGAGCACTCCAGCTGCCTCGGACCAAATCTGGCGACAAGATCTGAGTACACTGAGCCCATCCGAAAGGCCTTGGGCAAATTTTGCTTCCAGGAATTTTAAATCCTCCGCGTCGTTTTTCATAGCTGCTACCCATGCTGAACGGTCGCGTTCGTAATTCGAGATGCCTTCATATTGGCAGGATTCGCACAGACAGCGTGGCCCCCCATCATCGTCGTAGTCGTCTAGGTCCGGTGCTCGTGGGAAAAATGCGTCAGCGTTGTGTAAGAAGACAGGAGTGTCATTCTTGAACAGCAGCTCGTAAATGGAGTTTCGCATCTCGGCAGGCAGCTCTAAGAAGGAAGGTTTGGTCGGGTCGGCAGGGTGAGAAGTGACCTGCATAGGCTCCACGACTGTCGCACCGTGCGACACAAGGTGGGCCATCGCGCGCGCGTCAAAGAGGTTTTTGGATCTGCTTGTTGAATTTTGAAGAGTTGGCTAAGGTGAAATTCGAGCAGGTCGCGACAAATTTCGAAACTTCGTTATCGTGGATTGGGTGTCGCTACCGCACTTGAATGTGGATACGAACATCTGAACACCATCATTCTGCGCACTAATGTGGAGGTTTGTTTTCAACTAAATGTACGCTATAGAATAAGACGCACTTTGAGGCAGAGGCTACAATTCTATTTTGTAAAGGGCATGATCCAGCAATGATATGTACTCGAGTAGAGTACAAGTCCGTGAATAGTGGCGTCTTCTTACGCATCCCAGCTCAACTGATAGCCACCGATTTATTGCTTTCTCCGTCCTTCATGTCAAGCTGTCTGGTGCCTCTCTTTCCAGATCACCCCAACCTGAGAAAACTCTGAACAGGTCTGCAGCCTACATTAACATGGAAACATGCAAAGCAGGTAACATAACGTCGATGTAGGCTCTAGATCATTCCATGCTTTTCCTAGATTGACATGAGATGACTAGTCCAGTATCTCTTCCGCGTATCTCTCAATCGCGTAGACTGAATCCATTCCAGCAGGCTTCATCACCACGTCAGCAAACCGATACAAGATGGCCTCATGGAAGTTTGGTCGTGTCTTCGCAGCAGTGATACCACTTCCAGTTCCCCTGGCGTTTTTGTAGTACTTGCGCGTGCAGAAGTGATCCACAAAGGTCTGTAGATAGTACTCAACGTTTGAGGCTCCCTCCCAAGTACAACTATGGAGACAGAATGGTCTAAGTTCTGTCTCGGACAGAGAGTCACTCTGAACGCGAGGTACTGCATGCTTTTGGAACAGAAGAGCCCAGTGTAGCATGTCTAGCTTTGGGAGCTTGTATAGGCCTTGGGCGATCGAGCGCCATGATCCGTCCGTTAGCGTTACGAATGTGGAGTCGAATTCCTTCAACGTGGCTGAGTGTTGCTTTATGAAACGTCGAAGTTGACCCCCGCTAATGTAGATTGCGTGGAGACTCAGCCTGGTGATGTTGGAGTAATGTGTAGTAGCAACGTGCCTAGAAAACACTGCATGGCAGCCGTCGCAGAATCTCAAGCGAGGATGGGTCTCGCACCCGTCCAGACGAAGGGTCTCGATCTGACTGTGATTTGCGATAAGTCGGGACAGATTTGTGTGATCAGGCTGATAGTCCTTCAAATGATATCCATGTTCGTTCCACCTTTTGGCGTCCTGTATTGTCTGCTTGATCTCAGGACGTAGAAACATGTAATGTAAGGTCGGGGTGCTGATCTCGACACCCTTGGTGTATGGTGAGCAATCCGCAGGATTTATCATCAGAGTACGATGATCAGCGTTACTTAGGTTTTCAGTCTCTACTGTGAAGACCGCCTTCTTCCTTGCAAAGCCGCTCCTCGCTGAAGCGGCATGTATGAGACGGTGCAAGGTCGTACCCCGTACTGGAATCTCCTCCAAAGAAGTCGCTTGCTTCAAGTTCCGGAAGCATGCTGCTAGCAGTTCGACTGCTTCAGGGGCTTCTAAGTATGTCGAAATCTCTTCGCGCCGCATTTCACGGGTCGGAGACAATCCCTGTAGAATATCGCAGTCGTCCGCCGTGCTTGTCACCCTAGGATGACAGAACAGCACTCGCTTGATGCGGTCGCGAAAAACTGGTATTTGAGTTATGTGCAATAGCTGGCAGAGTCCCTTGTAGTCGACGAATATCTCGAGCTCCTCTAGCAATAGTCCGTACCTGACCACGGCGTCGAAAGTAGTCTTGGCGTGAAGGTTTCGGCAGATGAGGCGGAGCGACTGCAGGTCATCGTTATTGTAGTATACGGAGCCATCTACATCGCGCTCCAGCGAAAGCTTCCTTCACTCGCTTTGAGGAGATCGCGAGGTGATGATAGAGGCCTATGATGGAGTAGAATGGCAAAAATCTCGGGGTTTGTCGTTGATATAGACAGCTGAGTGAGTGTTGTTTGAGAGATGTGGCGAGGTGAGAGAGCAACGCAGTGCGTACCTAGGTAGTGCAGGTGGAAGGCGCGAGGGCAAACAGCGCTAGCCCGCTTACAGTATCGTGCATCCATGTGAAAGTGCCCAACACAACACAGATTGCGCGCGAGTTCACTGGTCTTCTTCGTTCTTTAAGTGTATCTGTCTCTCAAGAAACCTACTCCTCCGGAGGGTACACAACAATACGATCAATATCCGCGCCCTTAACGTCCTGCCCATTATCCAGCCCACCAATAGTAATAGTGTTATGACTACCCTCCTCCAAGTTCAACATAAGCGGTGTACTCAGAATAATCCCCTTGTGCGTATCTCTCTGATAAAGCGACTCCACCTCTTCCGTCTTGTTGTTCACAATAACGCTCGAGATGCGGCGGAGCTGCCATGTGCCGTTGATACGATCGGGTGAACCTCCAGGCTGGTCGCCGAAGCCCATGTCGTCGGTGTTCTGGTAGTAGAACGAGACCCACTGGGGCTTTCCGGTGCCTTCGATGTTGGAGAAGGTGACTTTGCTGTCGTTGCCGTAGATGCCGGTGACGATGACGCCGTCGCTGCCGAAGGTGGCTTCTTGGTGGTAGGCATCGCCGGTAGTGGTGGCGTCCTTGCCGTAGTAGGTGGTGCCGTTGATGGCTGTGACTTCTCCGGTTTTCACGTCGAGGTCGTAGACGTCGTACCATTTTAGCTCAACCGACTTCTTCTCTTCGTCAATCTCAAGCGGTAGCCAAATGTATCTGCTTTCCCATAGACTGATAGAGTCCCATTGGTCGCCCATGTACAGATAGGTCGTCTTCTTAGTGCCGTTGATCCGAAGGTTCAATCCTGACTGCGAGTTGAATGTGCGGGTGTTGAGCGGTGCGATGATGAAAGGTTGAGACCAGGGACCAGCGAGGGAGTCAGCTCGGAAGGCAACGACGTCTAGAAGCGGTCAGCACATGATGGAGATATCCGTTTAGTGGAAATACTGACTGTTTGGGCGGTAACCCGTCTTATGCGACATCAACGCGAAGTAGCTCTTGTCGGTCTGCACGATGGTTGGTGCTTCGAGGTCGTACTTGTCGAAACGATGAACGACTTCATCTAGAGCAGTGATGTTCTCATTAAAGGAAGTGAGGTAAACGTCACGTCCTTCTCTGCGGTCACCGTTGGAGTATAGCGAGTACGCTCGACCGTCTTTCTGGTCTACGAATAGACCGAAGTCTTGTGACCAGTTCCCAAGTGGTGCTGTAGCATCGACGAAGCTGTAGGGGCCGGTTATGTTGTCCGAGACCGCAAGACCTTGCAGAAGCTCTCCGTAGGTGGAGTTGTCGGCGTGCCACCACATCTATTAATGTTAGCAAAGCTACTGTGGTTGCTGAAGACGAGTGCTTACATGGTATTGGCCGGTGCCTTCGCTGAATACAACCTTCGGCCGTTGAATGATGTCCTCGGGTGAGATGTAGGGGTGGCCCTCGATGGGCTCCAGGGCCAGACCGTGAGGCTCCCAAGTCGCAAGGTCGTCGGAGCTGTACACGCTAACACCACCACCCTCTTCCTGTCCCTCGATCTTGTACTCGCCAAACCAGAAGTACTTGCCCGTCTCTTGATCCACAGTAATGCCACCAGCGTGCGCATTCACAAGAGTGTCATCAGTAGCTCTCCAACGCGCGCCTGGAACGATCCATTTGGCGGAGGCAGTCGCTGCAGCTAGCAACAGCTGGCATGAAAGCGTATTGAAACCCATTGCAATGTGATGCGATGGCGGACTGGGGTGACAAACATTTTTTGGTACATGGCTGTAGACCTCATATAGCCGGTTGCAGGAGCATGGATGTTTACCAGCCAAGCGGCTCCGGATTCTTTTCACCCGAGCATTCAGGAACCTAAGCCCTGGATATCATCTTGCGGGGCTCCGCACCTATTCGCGGAAGCGATCGTCGTATTTCTCCAGGTTTTGGGATGGCCCGCTACCGCGATTTGGTTTGGTGAATTCGGATGTCGGAAAAACCAAGACTTCAAGCTGGCTGCCAACGATGAGGGGATGTCGCCGCATGCATGTTTTACGGTAACGCTACCAGATCGAGCTTCCAACCCGCTCGTAAAGAGACTTACAGGCCTTCGGAAACATGGGACAAGAGCTGATGTTGAGGTACTTCGAGAATGAGGATGGCAGCTTCGGGGTAGCTTGAAGATGGAGCTCGCTTGCAGAAGCTGCTGACGTCATCATACCCGAAGCTCACCTACTCAGCCATGCCGCGCTCAAGTACTCTGATCGTTCGACATTAGTGGTCTTCTCAACTTCGCGCTTCAGCTTGGAGCATTTCGCGAATGACTTGGGTCGTGTATGCTGGGGACTTGGACATTCGCTGATGATGTTTACCCAGGTACCGATGAAGAAACCTTGGATAGCTGTCTCCTGCCAAGGCGCAGCGACCCTTACATCAGTTGCGATGAACACGTTGTCTCACTCAGTCGTTAGCCAAGCCTCCTCCAAAACGCTGAAGATTTGTAGACATACATTGCATTGATCAGATGCTCATTGCTACATGAGAAAGTATAGACAACCCAAAAGTAAATATCTACAAAAAAGTGGATATATACACAAGTTCTGGCACCACAATTTCACCGCCTCCATTTTCCACATTCAATCGCATCGGTCACACAGCAGCCATCTAGCAACTCGGAAGCGCCGACAGCTTACCCTGAGCACCAGTGCAAGCAGAATTGGTGTTCACCTTTGCACTGCTTCCACTGCCCTTGTTAACACCCTTGTACTCCTGGCACACCTTCTTCGTCGTTCCGCAGCTCCCACTGATACTTGCCGTATCACCAAAGTTGCTGTTAATACCGATCAAATCACTTGTAAGGCCAAAGGCGCGCACGTTCTCGACGATGACCTTGCGGGGCGATTTTTTGGAGTTGTCGGTGCAGTCGCCGCAGGAGCGGTAGAGTTTGCCCGCGTTGACGATGGTGTAGTTTTTGATGGTTACTGTGCCTGCGCCGCTGGGGTGGGTGTTAGTATGTGTTTGGGTTTGGGTTTGGGTTTGGGGGTTTGTGGTTGAGATGGGGAGGGATGGATGGGGGAAGGGGGGACGTACTTGTGCTGAATAACTTTGTCGCTGGCTTGAGCAGCGCCTCCGCCTTGGATGAGGGCGTTGCCGCTGCCGAGGATGGAGATGGCGTCTTCGCAGACGTCGCGGAACCAGACGTTTGTTAGGGTGCAGGAGCCTATATATATCAATACCACTCTTGCAGGATCGCGAGATGAATGTAGAACATACCCAAGCAGTGCACGCCCTCGAGCGCATTTGCGCCAATGATGACATTAGAGATGGACGCGCCGTTCTGGAGGATGAAGACGGCGCTGTCACTGCCAGTATCCTCGTCTGAGTTGCAAGGTCGACCGCGGTCGAACTCCTTGTTGCCAAAGTTGACGCTGCCGGTGATGGTGCTGGGCTGGGGGAGCGAGACGATGCTGCCGGAGCGGGTTGGGATGTTGAGGGTCTGCGCAGCTGCCATGCTGGCGACGAGGGAGAGCAGTGCGACTTGGGACAACATGATGGTATGAAGTTTGTGCGTAAGATGGAGAATGAACTGGAAGAGCTGCTGAGTCTTATGGAACTTTGCAGATGGGCTGAATACTCAGAGAAGAGATGAGTGAGCTGCTGGTCTACCACTCGGAACCTCCATTGCCTTTATACACATGGCCGATACCCACCTCTACTCGATACCTGCATCGCCAACCAGATCTAGACACCGATGTAGTCCTCTACGGACGTCGTAAGATTGCTACGGGGTGGATGAGACCCTGGATTGTGGATCTCACCGGGCAAGCCAAGACACTCTTGTATTTGTGGAGAATGGTGGAGAATTGTCTTCCGCCGTGGTAAGTTGTGCTTGGCTAGGGGCTGAGGTTGACGTTACCCTTACCGGTGGTTAGAATGGTCATGCCCACCATCACAACCTCACTATTTCGATCTACACTGCATAACAGAATACGCCCTGGACCTTTTCGTGATTCGCGGGATTTCTCGTTGACATGTTTTTCCGTACGCCATGAGTCGAGAATGTGCAGTTGTGTGATGGAGAACAGTATCTATGACACAGGTGACGGTGTTTTGGCGTTGTAGTATATTGGGGAAGACCTGGGGTACATTAGTGCAGCGCCATATGTCGGTAGAGAATTTTCCGCGGTGTTTGGAAGGATTCCTGGGCGGAGGGTTGGTGATGACTTGGCGTTTCAGTTGGAAGATGGGCTATGGATCTTGTGGAATACCACCTCTGGAGTCGATCTTTGGGTGGGTGGTATGCGATCCAATTTCCTGCAAAATGTTCCGTTCCAATTCGAGAACAGATCGCCTCGGCGAAGATGTGCTGTTGGCTGGTCGTGCCTTCACGTCGTAAAGGAGTCAACGCATTCTCACCGCTCACGTATCTTCGTTCGCTGGACTCAAGATTCTGTCGAAGAATGCAAGGCCTAGGCTTACATATGGGTACCTCTGGATCCATACTTCCGGTCTTGCATATCTCTATGGTGATGGTCCGTTTCCGCGACTCCCGCGAGGAACCACGATCAAGTTACTCACCGATGATTGGCAGTGGTCCATCGGTGAACGGCTCCTATCAGCGGAAGCACCCATCCACGAGCACTAGAACGTCTCAGATGGGGCGGATGGCAGTAAGTACCCGATCCGACGGCATTTGAGGATGGACATCATGGCCGACGATGCCCAGGTGTGCTGTTCCACGGGCACAATCCATATCGTGAACTTTCCGCTCCGTACTTCCACCAACCGGCGCCATTGGAAGGACAGATCCATATTGCATAAGCCTGGATAGGCAATGCAAGTGCGGAACGTTTCCCATGATGTGTTTCAAGATCGAATGCGGTAAACACGTGGAGATCATGACGCCTGGACAGTATGAGGGCCGCGATACTTTCTACTCTGGTAAATGACGTGTAATAAGTGTCTTGTCGTTCTAGATAGATTAGTGCCACGACGAAAAGTGAATTTGATCAATAATCACCAAAGGTGTCGATGTTTGAGAGAAACAGCATGCAGATGTCCATTTGGACTAGCAGATGAGTAAAGTGGGCCAAAGTCTTGGCAGAAGAGGCCCACCGAAAAGTCTCGAGCAATTCAACACCACCACACAACCAACGCGCCACACTACCCACCGCCCAAAATGTCGTCCATGCGAAATGCCGTTCAACGGCGCAACCACAAGGAGCGCGCGCAACCCGAAGAGCGCGCAAAATGGGGTCTCCTGGAGAAACGCAAGGACTACAAGCTGCGCGCGCACGACCACAAGCAGAAGCAGGCCAAACTCAAGATCCTGAAGCAGAAGGCCCAGGATCGCAATCCCGATGAGTTCTCCTTCAAGATGATGTCGTCCAAGGTGGACAAGTCGGGAAAGAGGGTGGCGGACCGAGGCAACAAGGCGCTCAGCATGGAGGTGGTCAAGCTGTTGAAGACACAGGACGCGGGATACATTCGCACTATGCTGCAGCAGACGCGCAAAGAGAGGGAGGAGGTAGAGCAGAGGCTGATAATGGAGGAGCAGGGCGAGGTGCGTGCTGTGAGGGATGCGGCGAGGACGAAGCAGGGCAAGCACAGAGTCTTTGTGGACAATGAGGAAGAACAAGAGGAGTTTGAACCAGACACTTGGTTCGGACGCGGCGAGGACATTCCTGCGCGCAAGGAGTCGCCTACCTTTGGAGACCTACAAGACGAGCTTTCGGAAGACGACGAAACGCCTATCCAGCGGCCGAACACATTATCGAAGAAGCAGATAGAGGCACAAGAGCAAGCACGGAGAGAAGCGAGAAAGTTCCGCAAGGAGAGAGAGCGAGCACAAGAGCGCCACGTAACAAGACTACGCGCCCTCAAGAAGCGGGAGAGCGAACTCATGGCCGCGGAAGAAGAACTCGAACTCCAGCGCGCAAAGATGAACAACACCGTCGGCGGAGTCAACAAGAACGGCGTAAAGTTCAAGATCAGGGAGCGCAAGCGCTGAGCTCCCATTAAACTCATATACCCAAATATATACAACTACAGCCTCGCCGGCATCCTCATCGCGCCATCCAGCCTCAAAACCGTCCCATTCAACATCTCATTCCCCACACACTCCACCACCAACCTCGCAAACTCCTCCGGCAGCCCCGCCCTCTTGGGGAACTCCATACTGTTCTCAAGACTCTTCTTCACCTTATCGCTCATCATGCGCGTCATCGCGCTATCGAACATACTCGGCGCAATCGTCACAGCGCGAATACCATACTTTGACAGATCGCGGGCGAGGGGCAGTGTAAGACTCGCAACCGCACCCTTCGACGCAGCATACGCAACCTGGCCCATCTGTCCATCAAACGCCGCACTCGACGCAATCATGATAATCACACCGCGCGACCCATCAGGGCTGGAGGGCGTAGTCGTAGTCATATGCGGCAGCACCTGTCTCACCAAATCCAACGTGCCCCTCAGATTTATATTGAGCACGAAATCAATACTCTCAATGCTCAACGGCTCGTTCTTCTTGTCGATAATCAGGCCTGGCATTCCTACTCCTGCTCCTGCTACCACGCCTCCCATGTCCTTTCCTGTTTCTTTGACCCATGCGACTGTGCCGCGGACTGCGGAGGCGATGGCGTCTGTGTCTGTGACATCGGTTTCGAAGAACTTTGCGCGGGAGCCCAGTTCGGACACGATTTTGGAGCCGTTGGAGGCGTTGAGGTCGAGTAGCGAGACGTATGCGCCAGAGGAGTGCAGGGCGCGGGCGGTTGCGAGGCCGAGGCCTGAGACGCCGCCGCTGATGAGGAAGGTGCGGTCTGCGATCTTCATTGTGGGGGAGGGTGAGATGAGGATGTAGATGGATCGTGGGATGAACGAATATAATGTTGCGACTGTCAAGTCTCTGGCTGTGCTCGTGTCTACGTGATGTAAAGTAAAGCCGCAACTAAAAGCGCATGTGAAGTCTAAACCACGAACGCTGATCCTCAAGCTCACTTGCCTCGGCTCACCCAGATCGGCCAAACCGCGCCCAGAACCTCCGACATGCCCGCTCCGTATCCTCACCACCGAACTGCATAGACATGCCCCACTCCGAATAACATCAATCTTGCCAATCCAATCCAATCCAATCTCGAAACTCAGCACCGCCGGGAGTCCGCAAAGACGCTCACTCACGTCCACGTCCACCAACCACACACGTCTTACATCGTCACTCGCTACCTCATATCTCGAGCTCCATAACGACCACGCATTCGATTCGCACCACCCAACCCCACCGTCTGGGCAGCGCCCATCAAATACAACGAGTCAACGAGGCAACGATGGCCAACACAGAAGACCGCATGATAATCGGCACGAACCGCACGCCCACGAACCCCACACCACTATCCGCGCCCCAAGAGCAACAAGTCAAGGATTTATATTACAAGAATGTGCGCGCGAAATGCGCGAAGGAGATTGAAACGTTTGCGCAATGCGCCCTCGGCCGCACGTTTACGATGATATACGCGTGCCGCCAACCGCGGCTGGCGATGAATAGTTGCATGTTGCAGTATCAGAATCAGGATGAGTTGGATAAGGCAAGGTTGGAGTGGTTTGCGTTGGCGGAGGAGAGGAGGCAGGTATGTTATATTGAGTCTCATACACTTTCAACTCTCCACTCTCCACCCTGAACTCTCCAGTCCTAGGATTGAAGGGCATGGGAACGGAGAGGCAGACTGGGATATGCAAGGCCTGTATCTGGAAGACCGCAACGCTAACAATCCCACAGGCGCGGATAGACCACCAAAGAAAGCTGGAAGATGCGCGAGAGAAACACAAAGAATGGTGGAATCTAGACGAGTCGGGGCGTACGCTAGGCAAGAAAGCAGAAACGGTTAATGAGGAGGGACTGAGGAGGAAAGAGGAGAATAGGGTTGATGATAGGGGGGTTACTAGGGGTGGGGTTTATGGGTCGAGATGAGGGGGGCTGTTGAAGATGAAGGGTGGAGGGTGGAGCGGATGTATATTGTATTATAACGTGTAAATACTCGACCGCCATTTCAGTTGAAAAGTAAGTGCGGCTCATACGCGGGAACGAAAGCTTTTTATCCAGCTCTCTGGTATAGTCCCGTTCAAATACCACTCTGACCCATAACGCCGTTACAAATGCTCAAGTCCCGCCAACGCCGTTTCAATCACACCTTTGTGCCACTGCTTCTCGCCCCGAGCAAGCAATTTAGGCGTTATTCTCCTGGTTAATCCCCATAGCCTCCTCAAACTCATCGTCATCAACCTCCTCATCCTCCTCCATACCCCCCATATCCGTATCCTTGGCCTCCGTCTCCACAGCCGGCGCCCCATTCACCGTGCCCACAGGCCCCCCAGCAAACCCAGCACCCTCCCCATCAACCTCCATATCCTCATCCCCACCCTCATCCTCAACACTCTCCTCCCACGCACCCTTAACCCCCCACCCCACACCCGTAAAGCAATACCTCTCCGGCGGCAACCTAATCCCAAACTCGCGCTCCACCCTTGGCAGCGCAATACGATTCCTCTCTTGAGCAACCTCACTCATAAACTCCTTTCCCAAGGACGTATTAAACGCGCCCGCGGCCCTTGCTCCCACGGCTGTCCTAAGCGCATTCAGACTCACGGCGTCTTCACCGCTTCCATCGGCGTTGGCGCCGCGTTTCTTGCTGCCGGAGGTGGTGGGTAAGGGTGGTTCGTAGCTGATTGCGTCGGAGAGGATGGAGGAGGTGTAGCGGTAGGCAAAGTCGAGGAGTTGGAGGGGGACGCGCTCGGTGTAGGCGTGCACGCCCATGTTGGCGAGGATGAGGTGGATGAGGCGGGCGTCGCGGGGGCGTTTGGAGGTGCCGGGGTCGGAGAGGGATGTTGGTGGGAAGGCGGGGTTCATTGGTGCGGTTGTAGAGACACCGTTGGACTGTTGCGATGGTTGCGCGGTTGGCTGTGAGGGCTGTGGTTGCGACTGCGTGGGTGGGCTGAGTGTGGGTGCGTTGGCGGTCGCGGGCGGCGTTGAGATGCCATTTTGCATTGTCTCTGCGGCGGGTGACGCCATGGTGGGTGGTTGTGTGGAGTAAGAGTCAGGGGGAGGTAAGTGAATGAGTGAAGGTCGCGCGTTGAAGTTGCGACGGACGCGAAGGCTTGGCAGCTGCATGCGGCTCAAGTGAAACCTGGGGAAAAGACACACTAACAAACCGCAAGTGAAGGGGGATAATTGCTGTTACTAAGATACAAGAAAGCAAATCATACATTAATACTCGCCTATAATACAGCAAGGAATGTCTACAGACAGTTTAGTAAATCTTTGATAAACTGTTAAAGCGTCTGACCTTTATCATGCACATGCGATCATACACCTATCCTACCAGACTACACTCTGTACACATCGATTACTTAACTTTACTACCTGCCTGTTCATTATAAGATGTCCGTGAACTCACGTATATCTCAAACCGAGTTTCATATTGAAGACGTCCACCACCACCCCACCTCCTCCCCGCCGCCTCCCCTCCGCCTCCCCTCCGCCTCCCCCACCCACCCTGAAACGTCACTAGCGAACCGCAAGTGAGCCCTGGAGGTTGGGTGAGACAAAACTACCACGGCACGGGAACACATAATGTTGGATAAAAATGATGAATCAACGATACATTTTGCTAATTACTACAACACGCTCAATACAATACTACACAACCCCAAGTCCAACCACATCCTCCTCATCCCCCGTCGCCTCACTAGCAACACTCTCATGCAAACTCGGCGTCTTATCCTTCTCCTTCCTCCCAATCTTCTTAGTAATACTGCCCCAAACACCGCCAGCAGTCCCACTCTTCGGCGTGCCAATCTGAGGACTGTTGCCCACACTCTCTGTACTCTTGCCCAGGCCGAAAAACCCACTTGTTGAACCCTCTTCCTCATGCTCGTCGGGTGTACTAGGAACATCGGATTTGGCGGACTTGGAAAAGAGCGCGTTCTTTTTGCCAAACGTGAGGAACTGGTTGGTGCTACCCTTACGTGTGAGTTTCTGCATGAAGGATTCTTTGCCGATGGAACCCGCGGCGTCGGAGGCAGTGTGGGATATACTTCGTTCGAGAGATTCGCGGGGGGAAGCTTCTGAGGCATCGGCCGTGGAAATAATAGAAGGAGTGTCTCGCGACATGCGGGAATCATGAGGAGAAGTTGTGTCTCTGGCGTCGCCGGCTTCAGAGGGCGTGGCGTGCTTGTCTTTGCGCGCTGCCTTTTCCGCCTTGTCGGCCTTGACTCTCTTTTCCTTTTCTTCCTTCTTCTCTGCCTTTTCGGCTCGGCGGGCTTCTTTCTCGGCGGCGCGCTTGGCTTTTTCTTCTTCGTTCTTCTTGCCGAGTTGGAACATGGTGAAGCTTGCTGCTGCGGGGTTGAGCTGCTTTGGTGGGGTAGGTGGGATGGGTGGGAGTGATGAGGTTGAGGGTTGTGCTGGCATGTGGGAAGCGGATGACTGTGGGCGAGTGCCAATTGGCGCTTGAGTGGGTGAGCGTGTGTTTGAAGGAAAGTCCAGAACATCATCGTGGATATCGTCGTTGATCAGGTTCGCGCTCGACGTGTGTTGCATCGAGGGTCGACGAGATCCCAGCCGTGACCATGAAGTGGTGTTGGTGTTGTTGACACTCCAGTCGACTCCAAGAGGACTAGCCCGAGCACCAAAGGCATCCACATTCCAGCCGAAGCGCGTCTGGCTCTCGGTCGATGGACGTGGCAGAGCCATGCCTTCTCCTGAATTAGTAGAGCCCTGACGTGGAGACTCCGGCCTCTGCATGCCTAGGATATTTCGTAGCCAGGGGTCTTCCCCACCCTTTGCGCTGCTGAACATATTGAACGGTCGTTTACGTGTAGCCACATGTTTTGGACTACTAAGCGACTCAATCGGCTGAGTCTTGGTGCGTATGAATGTGTCGTACCATGCGCCTTCAGAATGGCTACCGCGGCGGCGAGTGTTACCCAGACCGTCAATGCCATGGTCCTGTCGAGGTAGTGACTGACTTTGTGACGGTTTCAGGGAGCCCAACGCTGGACCCTCGTCGGAGAACGTCTTGCCCCGTGCTCGATTCAGTCCAAAGAGTCCACCAAAACGACTGGCTTGGGGATTGATCTGGAAGGAGCTGGATGTTGAGTGAATGGAGCGCCTGTCGTTGTCCATGTTGTTGTCATTACTGGGATAAAAGTTGAGTTCACCAGCACTGTCCCGAGGACTTGCTAGAGCACTGGGCGAGCCGCTCTGTGGAGAAGCTGGTGAACTCGAGTTTTGCGTGTGGTTCATAGTTCCAGGAGCTCCAAGACCAGGTAGGACGTTCCTCATGTTAGGTGAAGGATCCAGCGACGGTGCTTGGGGTGGACCTGGGTCGTCATCCTCATCCTCCGTCAAGCCTAGATCATCCCCAAACAATCCCGCTGGAAGCAATGCGCCGGCTGTCGGACTCATTGGCGCACCGCCGGTCAAACTCTCGAAGTCAGCCTGCGAGAAGGATGTGCTGTAATTCCGAGGAGGAGGCAATGCCATGCCGTTGACGGGGTTGAAATAAGGCGTGGCGGTAGCGAACGAGGGTGATGAGGTCGTGGGGATGCTGTTGAACGGGGCTGATGAAGTATGCACGAAGCCACCAGTAGCCTGAGCCAGAAGTCCCTCGCGCATGCTTAGCGGTCGCGCACGCTGGCTGTTCCTCCTGACGGGACCCATTTCTGGGACTGGCGGTCCTGAGAAGAGTTGCGGCTGGCTCAGGCGGCGCTGCTGCATGTAGGTCAATCTGCCCGTGGCATCCTGATGGGCTCTCTCCGCCTCGGCGTATAGCGCCCAAGCCTGAGCATACTGCTGCTGCAAAAGACCCAGCGTCATCTTCCAGCGGTTGTCCTCTTCCTTCTCTGCGTTGTCGGGGCCGTCTGCCGCTTCAGCGCCTTCTTGGCCTTCCTCGAGCTTCTGCCTCTCCTCTTCTAGAGCCTTGATGTGGATACCCTTCTCACGGATGGCGTCTTCCAAGACCTTGTTCGCCTGCGTCTCGTCGGCGTACTTGTCTTTGAGGTCTTGGACGCGCTTCTCGGAAGCTGCCTGGTACTCGGTCTGCTCTTTCTTGATCTTCTCAGCAGTGTCGCGGAGTTCGCCCGCCTCCCTGGTCCACTTGGCAACATCGTCCTTCAACTTCTTGCGCTCAGCTTCCTTTTGACGCAGCACCCTTTCCTGCTGAGCGCGTCTGGTCTGGGCCGCGGCGTTCTGACGCTCAAGACTAGCCACCTCTTTCCGCAGGTCGCGACTGGCATCTTCCTTTTCTTTCAATGCCGCCTTCTTCTCGTCGCGCTTGTCCACCAAGATGGCCTTTTGAGTGACAAACTCCTGGTCCTCGTCTTGGATCTGGCGCTCCATGTCGTCCAGCTCGCGTCTGAGGCCGTCCAACTTCTCGGTCAACTGGCGGATCGAGTCTGGGCCTTCTGCCTCTTGCGCTGCCCTCCCTTGGTCCTGCATCTGCGATGCGGGCGAGATCTTCCGTCCGATGTCGGGGCGGCGCATGCGGGAGGTGCTGTTGCTGTGTTCGCGGGTCATAGGCGGGGCAGCGACGGAGGTGACGACATCGGCGAGGGTCTTGTTGGGGCGGATGACGGGCGTGGGGGTGTAGTCATTGTCGTCGCTGGCGAGGGGCGCGTCTTTGGGCGGGGAGGGACCGTAAAAGTCATCGGAGTCGGCGGGGAGGGTGCGCAGGCGGATGGGCACGCTGGGGGCTTGGAAGCTGGATGAGTTGAGGGTGACGATGCGGATGGTGTAGTGGCGGTCGGGCTGCAGGTTCTCGATGGTGATGGAGGATTCCTGCGGGGAGATGTCGCCAATGTCGATGCCGTTGATGCGGATCACGTATTTGAGCACCGAGGCGCGCTGGTCGGGCGGCTTCCAGTGCAGCAGCACGCCATCGGCCTTGATGCCAGCGAGCGAGACGAGGGGTGCGACGGGGACTTCGAGGCCGAGCACCTGCACCAGCTTCTCGACGGGCTGCGTGAGGACCTGGTAGGCGCGGAAGGCGACCCTGCATGCGCGGTGAGCAAGTGCGCGTGTATTTCTTCTTGTATACAATTCCTACCAGAAGAGGGCCGAGACGATGCACGCCGTGCGCAGCCAGCCCGACGACGAGAACAGCAGGGCCTCCATGTCGTAGCGGGCGACATCGGGCGGCCAGTACAGCGACTGTGAGGGTTCCGAGAACATGGCGACAGCTGTCAGGCGGCTCCCACCTGTTTGTCCCTGGTTGTCGTGGTGGGTGAAGTTTGCGCGGTGCCTGGCGGCGTCATGTGCAGCCACAACCGCCGCAAATGGCCGAAGCTACAGGCCATTTCGACGTCTTGGCTGCTCCACACCTGCACTCCTCCGCATTCATGAGCAGCTAGCGGGGCAGGGTGGCTGTCGAAAAGACGAGTTGGGCGTGTGTTGAGAATATCATCGCGATACCTTCCATTGAATATTATATCCGGTAGCAAAGTCGAGAAATAACTCTGATGACATCCCATAATGTACACTGAGCAGTGGTTGAGCCAGTGGCTGGCCCAACATATAATCAGCACGAACGCTTCTCCAATGTGCGTGCTCCGTTGCAGCATGTGAAGATGGCATCTCGATTCTGCACCTTAGCCCATGCAATATGCACGAAGTCCCTCGCAACAGATACCATTCTGGATGTACACTTCTGGAAATTCTTGCCGCACTCCGGCTCAGCGCATCACTTGATCTCGGCCTGACGTCCTCGGGCCCGTGATGCGCCCGCGAGCTCGGTGACCGCATAGCTCACCACTGCCTAGGCACGTCAGCGCAAAAGTACTTCCACTCCTGACATCCCTTCTTTGACCCTCAACGCTCGGCCGGTCGCTCTTCCCTCGGTGAACGCAGCCCTCTGACATGTGAAGAAAGAATGCAAACACGCTCTGACACATTTCCATCCGCCCTCCCTCTGTAAAACACTTCTGACGTACATCCCCGACGCTCGCTACGACCCATACAAACGAGATCATCTGCGCAAGAGGTGCTGAGCCCGTAGACAGCAACCATGAACTACGTGCGATCCATCACGGGCAGCGTGTCCAAGGGCTGGAACTCGATCAACCCCGCCACCCTCAGCGGCGCCATTGACACCATCGTCGTAGAGCACGAGGACGGCAGCCTGGCATGCTCGCCCTTCCACGTCCGCTTCGGCAAGTACCAGATACTGCGCCCCTCGGACAAGAAGGTCGAGTTCCGCGTCAATGGCGAGCTGCAGGACTACTCGATGAAGCTGGGCGAGGGCGGCGAGGCCTTCTTCGTCTTCGAGACGACGCGCTCCATCCCCGCCGAGATGCAGACGTCGCCCATCGCATCGCCCGCCGCCAGTCCCGAGCAGAAGCCCGTAGAGCTGCCCTCGGAGCGCGCCTTCGACGAGCCCGAGCCTTTCGACCTGGACGGTAGCGCTACAAGGAGACGAGGGCGCATGTCCATGTCGGTGCCTGCCTCGGACTATGCCGGCGCCGACTTTGGACGGCCCAAGTCGGGGGACTGGTCGGGCTTCCACATGCAGAGGGCAAGCACGGATGAGACGGTGCCTTCTGTAAAGGACGGCTTTGCCAAGACATTCGACGGAGAGGAATCACAGGACAAGGGGCCCGAGAGAGGGCCGCTGCAGATCAGCAAGGAGGATGCGACGGCTTGGAACAGGTCAACGCGCTCAGCGAGTCCGCCGCCTGTATCCTCCGCCGAAGCCCTGGCCCGCGCGATCAAGCTGTCCAAGAAGCTCTTTACCTCGAACATCCCGAACAAAGTCACCGAGACTGGCGACCTCGAACTAGACATGACGGGGTACAAGAGCAGCGAAGAGGATGCGTTGCGCGCTGAGGTCATAGCCAGGCGCATTCTGTCGGATGAGCTCGCAGGAGACTACGACATTGGCGCGCTCATAGGCGCCGACGAGAACGGCAACCTCTGGATCTACAGCAGTGAGGAGGCCAAGGCAGCGGCTATGGCAAAGACGACAATGAACGTACTGAACGAGTCCGCTCTTCAATCGACCGATGCGCTGTCAGACCCCGGCTACCAGAGCGACAGCGGACGTAGCGACGACACTGCCCAATTCCCCCTACGCAGAGACTCAGACAGTGCACTGGGTTCCTCCGCGCCACACTCGCCCGAAGCCAGAAAATCTGAGCACAAGACATACGCAAAGACACTACGCCTCACGAGCGAGCAACTCCGAGCGCTCAACCTAAAACCCGGCGCAAACACCATGAGCTTCACCGTAAACCGCTCAAAATGCGAAGCCTACATGTTCTACTGGAAGCACGACGTACCCATCGTCATCTCGGACATCGACGGCACAATCACCAAGTCCGACGCCCTCGGCCACGTGCTCAACATGATCGGCCGAGACTGGACACACCAAGGAGTAGCCAAACTCTACACCGACATTGTCAACAATGGCTACAACATCTTCTACCTAACCAGCCGCTCCGTCGGCCAAGCCGACACCACACGCGCGTACCTAAACGGCGTCGTCCAAGACAACTACCGCCTCCCCAAAGGCCCCGTAATCATGAGCCCAGACCGCACCATCGCGGCCCTCCGCCGCGAAATCTACCTCCGCAAGCCCGAAGTCTTCAAAATGGCTTGTTTGAGAGATATCATGCAGCTCTTCGATAAGCCCGCGCACCAAACGCCCTTTTACGCCGGTTTCGGTAATCGCTTCACTGACGCGCTTTCCTACCGCAGTGTCAACATCCCTTCCACCCGCATCTTCACCATCAACTCCAACGCCGAAGTCAGTCTTGATGTTTTGTCGCTCAACAGCTATAAAACGGGGTATGCGAGCATGCGCGAGATTGTTGATCACTTTTTTCCGCCGGTGGGGCTGCTTGTTCCGGCGGGTGGGGAGGCGTATACTGATTTTAATTATTGGCGCGATCAGCCGCTTGATATTCAGGATTTTACGGATAGTGAAGATGAAGAGGAAGACGACGATGATGAGAGGACTGAGGCGGCTAGTATAAGGAGTGAAGACGAGGGATCGGAGATTGGCGAGGATCTTGAGGCGAGCTACATGTCGAGGGAGACCTTGGATGTCGATGAAACGGGCTTGGAAGATTCGATTGTCGAAAGTGTGGAGGGGGGTGATTATTTGGAGGGCGAGGGGTATGTTGAGAGGAGGTATGGGGATGATGAAGAGGAGGGGTATGACGACGACGAAGGTGATAGAACGATGGTTCAAGACGTCATCCCTTCGATTGAGGATGGGGGGGATACGGGTGTGGATACGAATGTTGAGCGTTTGAGGGCGCTGGATGTGAAGGAGAGGAGTCCGACGCCGAGGGCTCCGGCGAGGAGGTAGTCAGCTTTGTTTGGAATTTTGTTCTAAGTCGAGTTGTTTTTCGCATAGCATGGCATGGGGCGGCGTTGGGTGTTTGTAGTGCGTAAGGGTAAGGCACGCTGGTGTTTGTAGAATCTTCTTGTTTACGTATTGTAATTCATTAGACAGCTATGAGACTGGGCTTCAACATGCCCTTTCTAATATCCGTTAAGGATCAACATGCCTCGTCTTGTTGTCTATTGTAGCTTTTATCGTCGCTTCCTTACCAGCATGTGCCGCGTTGCAACATTACCCCAGACTCTTAAGCCTCCTCCCAAGAATCTTGGCTACTTTATTATACCTGCACGTGGTATCTCTAATATAGCGGCAGTTATCGGCTATTACTTTTCGAGCGGTGCTCTAGTTGGATCAACGAGATACCACGCGCCAATTACCAATGGTCTGGCATCGATCACTTCGCGCCTTCCAAGATTGGTTTCATGGCTCAGATCTGGGCGCTCTATCCTTTACACCCTTTGTCTTCCCCCACACATGCCGACCGCCAATATCAGGGTAATAAAGTGCACTTACTCTAATTCTTTTCTGTATAAATCATGACATCAGAGGTTGAACAGAGCGGAGATTGTAGAAGAGGTTCGCAATCCTCTCGTTACTCATATACCTCTTCACCCCAAGGAGCAGCTCATCTAAGAGGCCATTGACACCGTGAGCAACTCAACGCTCCACCATACCAAAACTCAATATCTAGCAATTCAACAACCACCTCCATGATGCATCCCACCCTCTCCCTCACCTACGCTCTAACACTAGCAACAAGCACCTTCGCCCTATCACCCCACCTATCCACCCGCCAACAGCCCTTCAAAACAACACCCATAACCGACTTCTCTGAACCATGGGCCTTCGCCTTCCTCCCCGACACCCGCATCCTCGTCACAGAGCGAAAAGGCAACCTCCTCCTCGTCGACCCAACCACCAAGTCCAAAGGCAGCATCACCGGCGTCCCCGCCGTCGCGTATGCCGGTCAAGGCGGCCTCCACGACATCGCCTTACACCCCAACTACTCCAACAACAGTATCGTGTATATCAGCTACGCCGAAAATGGTTCTGGGGGCGCAGGCTGCGCGGTCGCGCGCACCAAGCTGAGTCTGAGTGGTAGCGGTGGAGCGCTATCCGGTCTTGAAGTCATCTGGCGGCACTCCCAGCGCGCCACAGGCGGCCTCCAGTTTGCGTGTCGTCTGAAATTTAGTCCTGAAGACGGCGGGTTGTACATATCCTCTGGCGAGATAAACCAAATGCATCCAGCCCAGTCCATGACGTCCAACCTAGGGAAGATAATTCGGCTCTACGACAACGGGACTGCTTTTGCTGGAAACCCTTTCGCGTCTCAAGGCGCCATCCAATCCCAGATCTACACGCTCGGCCACCGCAATCCGCTCGGCATAGACTTTGACGCTGCGGGCCGGCTGTGGGAAGTCGAAATGGGCCCGTTTGGAGGCGACGAACTCAATCTCGTTCAACCGGGTAAGAACTATGGATGGCCGCTTGTATGTGAGGGACGGCATTACAATGGCACGTTGATACCGAAGCACAGTACGAGGCCGGAGTTTGCGGCGCCGAAGGCGAATTGGGTTCCTGTTATCTCGCCTGCTGGGCTTATCATTTACAAAGGTGACCTTTTTGCTGGGTGGAAGGGCAATGCTATCATTACTGGTCTTAGTGCGCAAGGGCTTGTGAGGGTTAGTATTAATGGTGATACGGCGGCGGAGGCACAGCGCATTGGGATGGGTAAGCGGATGAGGGGGATTAGGGAAGATAAGGATGGGGCTATTTGGGTGATTGAGGATGGGGCTGGGGGGAGATTGTTGAAACTTACGCCGAATTGATGGGGATGGACAGGGAAGGCAGGTATATGAAAATGGGTCTTGATGAGAATGCATCAATGGCGTTCACGAAGCAAACACATCGAGCTTGAAGTCATCAGAATTACCTGTTCCTCGAGTCGAGGCTATCCATGAGACATCAGTACTACCACTGAGCTTCACCAGTGACATGACAGCCATCACCGCTCTTCCATCTCCCTTCCCATTCGTATGTCTGTGAAACCCGAAGATCCACACCATGGAACCACTGCACCCATATCTACCTCACTTCCTACCGACCGACCCATCCATGTACTGAGTCCAACCACACTCCTTCTTGCACAACTTGCCATCGACATGGACGCCCTGGCAGATGATCTCGCACTGGGAAGTATGTTTGCAGCTCTGTTTTAAGCATCAGCACGATTTCTTGTCACACCGTCCACCTTCCACTTCCATAAATCAAACCCAAACTTACATTAGCGCAATCAACATAAGCCTCACTGCAGCGCTTGCAGAACCTAGTAGCCACAGCATGAACGTCCTGCTCTCCTTCGTTAGCCCCGGCCCTAGAGTAAAGCAGGGAGAGAGGGTGTAGGAATGAAGGCGGACTTGCGTTGTCGGATGAGGAAGCGGTGTCGTGAGGGATGACGCTGCCGAGGACGGTGGTGAAGAGAACTGCGAGGGCGAGCATGAAGATGGTGGTGAGGGACTTCATCTTGCGTGGGTGTTTGGGTTTGTTTGTGGGGGCTGAATGGATGTAGTATTATGGGAGTAGCTGAAGGTTAGATTTAAGGAAATCGGGTCGTGGTGTAGAGGAGTTGTTGGGGGTGGAGTTGTAGAAGACTTCGAAGGAAGGAGCCGAGTACGTTGGATAGGTAAGGTCTGGGCGCGGTGGCGAAAATCTCGACCGGACCCCGTTTGCAAGGTGAGTACAGGTGAGTGCAGCCTGATTTATTTTGTAAGCGGTTCAGGCTACGTAGTTGATAAAGGCTATTACAGGTCTTTGCGCAAACACGCAAACACACTGTGGCGGGAGTGAGGCAGTGACGGTGACGAGGCCGGGTAGGTAGGACGTAACGCCTTCGAACACGGATAATATGTAGTCGAAATCAACCAGATTCGAGAGCAAGCACAATAACATGATGTTCACCTAAACTATAAACTTCACACACCCGAGAAGTGGGACAATGGACCTAGTAGGTAAGAAGTGACGGCTTAAAACATCAACACCAACACCAGGATCATGTTGTGGGAGTCACTCAGGTCCGAGACCGGATACTGGAAGATCACGCTCACTCAGGGAGGGACTTGGGAGACCTCCACCTCCTCCCCTCCGCCTCTCCTCCGCCTCCCCCACCCACCCTGTGACGATAGAGCGCGGCACATGTTGTGACTGCCCGTTTTGGCGCGACCTACATTTGCAAGGTTATTAATTTTCCGTCGACCGATATTGAACTTGCGTCACAACGAAGAACACCCCCACGTTGCGTGGATGGATTCACACACTGCTCCAGCTTTTCTTTGCAACGGTACTTCGTAATTCTCATTCATCTCGGTCTGGCCGTGGATATAACGTCCCTTCTCACCTACCCTCCATCTCCACATCCTCCTCCTCAATCGTAGGCAAAACCTGATACATCCTCTTCCCCTTCCCCATCCTCTTCAAGCACCGATCCGTATGCAACAAATGCCCCCTCTTCTGCCTCACAAAGCCCGCAAAACACGCCGCACTCGACGCAATTGCGCCCGCTGAGATATATATCGGTATGAAGAAGTCCTGCGGCTTATACCAGATCATCGTCGTCGCAAAAGAGAGTAATTCGAACAGGTTCTGTAACGACATTTCGATAGCGGAGAAAGAGCCACGGGAAGCAGGAGGCGCGTCTTCTTGAACAAGGTATTGTACGCTGAGATCGAAGCCCCAGAGACCGAGGCGGGAGAGGCATACGCCGATTACGAGGGCGCCGCCGGCTAGCATCGGTGCTGTGGTTGTGGGGAAGAGGTGGAATAGGCCGATTGCCAGGGCGATGGCGAGGAGTTGTTCGTTGATGAACCAGAGACCTGCTCGTACGGCGCCGATTTTGTTCATGAGCCACGGCGCTGCGATGGTGGCGGATAGTTCGAGGATAACGGATACGAGCCGCATGACGGAGACGTGCGTGCTGGTGAAGCCGAGGGTGAGGAGGTAGGTCGTCATTTGCGAGGCGAAGGAGAGGACGGTGAGGTAGAGAAGGGAGAGGGAGAAGGAGGCCAGGAAGGCGGGGTTGGTGATGTATTCGCGGTACGGCGCGAGGTGTGCTGTTAGAGTTTTGGTGATGGTGGAGCGTCGCGTAGTGGTATTTGGTACGGTATCCTGGTTAGGCGACGAGGCTCGCTGTTGCAGTTCCGTAGCAATGTCCGTTTCAGACGCTTGTTTCGTCACGACGCCCTTTCCGATACTTAATTCCGGTACCGCGGCATATACATTCGCGATGGCGAAGTATTCTACTAACACGCTTATTGCGTTTTGTGCGAAGACGGCCCAGATGGCGAGTTTGGTCGAGTATCCGTCTACGAGCCCGATACCGACAGGCGCGATGAGCTTGCAAATGAGGTCTATCCTGCGCATGGCGCTGTTTAGCTCTTGTCGGTCGAGAGACAGACTCTCGGACACGACGACAATCCAGTCGCGCTCCACGGAAACGGTATTGGCGACGAAGGCGAGTTTCTCGATGCATGCCAGCACCACGCTGATGAGGAATAATCCGTAGGTCACCATCCCAATATCCTTCTCTTCTCCACCCAAACCCAGCATCGCTACCAAAATCGCACAACTCCCCGCAACACTAACTCTTTGCCACACAATACTCTGGCGCACAACCCATAACCTATCTCTCCGGTCGACCAGCCCTCCAATCCATGATCCGAGGACTGCAGCGGCGAGTGACCGGAAAAGCGCATAACATGACGCGAAGAAAAGCGTGCCAGGGAAGATTTTGGCCAGAAAGATCACAGCGCCGAATTCAAAGGTGCGCGCATTCCACGTCGAAAGTACATGTGAAGTGTACAGCTTGGTGAGGAGGTGGCGGGGTGATCGTCGCGTGGGCGATGGTGTTGATCGGGCGGGGTAGACTGGTTGTGGTTGGGTTGGTGAGGCCAGCTCTCCTCTGGTCTCGCTCGCCTCGCTCGTCATATCGTCACAAGTTGTGTAGGTAGGAAGAAGCAAAAAGGCAAATCGCGCCCCATGGCGAGTGTTCGCAAGGTTTAGCTGCCTAATACCGTGATGGTCATGAGACGGGTGCCCGATGCTGTGGGAGACGGACGTCTGGGCCTTCCGAGTCGCCTCATGGATTGCGTTTGCATGTGTGGACCCTGTCGATCTGGTGGAGAGGTTAGGCTGTGTTGGGTTAGCGTCGCGAGGATTGATGGATATGAGAGAAAGCAGGGCCGAGGATTGATGGTGAGGATGCCTCTATTAGGCTGATGAGATGGGTTTGCTGGTTTGGTGGATAGTGGTGGGTGTGATGGAAGATGGGTCTTTGTTGTCTTGTCGAGTGTGCCAGTATCATTGCATGTAGTTGCAACTCCACATGATTAATGAGTAAAAACGCCTTGTTTCATGACAGTGGAAGCATAAGGATGTCACGATGGTTAGTAAGTATTGGGGCAAGTTGTTTTGGTGTTTCCTGATGATAGTGTGGAGCATTAAACTACAAGGACTGTCGACGTTCCAAGGCTGCGAGCGTGTCCTTAGCGTGAACCCTGGATCTTGGAAAGACGCGTTTCCGAAGGCCATTCCATCTTCCAACAAACTCACATTCATGGAGCTCACCACACACTATCAATTGCCCCCAAATCTGTCGCAGGCTCATGGCTTTGTGCCCCGATCTCACATTTCATGAAGATGTTCGGCTATACGGCAAGGCGTCGAACGCTTGGCCAAGACGTGCTCGTGCATCCACCTACATGACGCGTACCTAGGTAACCTACTTGATTCCACGTCCACCAGATCTCTTTGCTACAGAGCAGATGAGGCGCTCTATCCATCGTGCTAGAAGAGGTAAGCCAGCGCATATGACCTCGGGGCCCCAAGACCGCTGCACGACTGACAATCGCAGGATGGCTCGTCCTACCGCTCGGCAGACACCCCGCTCGCTTCCAGCCTCCGCCCGCCTTCTTGCAGCCCACGAACAATACTCAATCAGTAACACCACGAAACAACGCCCAGCACGACGGAGACAAGCAAGAGCGAAGCAAGTTTGCTCGAAGCGTGCTTGAAGGTAGCACGGTAGCCCTGATATCGCTCTTCGGCCTGGGCCTTGGCGGCTATGCCTATAGTCTGTTCTACAAGCGGACCGTCGCAAAGAAGATTGAGAATGCCTTTGCCACGGGATACAGCTCGCAAGAGCGTGTTGCGCTGGGTCGCATCTCATACGGCACGGAGCCAGACAAGATACAAGAGATTGTAGAGAGGGAATACTGGGTCCCGCGAGCAGAGCAGGAAGATATCGACAACGTTGTCAGCGGAAGGGCCAGAGGAAGATACTACCTAGTCATTGGTGAGCGAGGTACTGGAAAGCGGGCTCTACTCCTAGAAGCCATGCGGAAGGTCAATGGCGATGGTATTGCTATGCTGGAAGCGCATAACGACCTGGAAGTCTTTCGAACGCGACTCGGCAAAGCCATCGACTACGAATTCCACGAGGACTACATTGGAGGATTGTTCAGCATTCGGGGCCCCAGGGATAGCTCGCCGCTACTGGACATTGAAAGAGCACTCAATCAGATGGAGAAGGTAGCCTTGTCGCTGCGGAAGCGCCGCGGCAAGCCTCTTCTCATGATCATCAACAACATCCATCTGTTCAAAGATGACGAAGCGGGAAAGCATCTACTTGAAATCTTACAGCAGCGCGCTGAGATTTGGGCTGGCAACGAGCTTGTCACAACCGTCTTTACCTCCGATGAATTCTGGACCCTCGAACGCCTGACACCACACGCCACCAACATGCACGTCATCAGCGTCAGAGACGTACGGAAGAACGTAGTAACCACCGCACTCAAACAATACCGCGCTCGCTACCACAACGAAGACGTACCCCAGGGCATCCTAGACGAAGTCTTCGCCAAAGTCGGCGGCCGACTCATCTTCCTAAACCAAGTCGCCAAATCGAAAGACATGTTGGAAACATGCAAACAAATCAACCGAAGAGAGAAAATGTGGTTCCTGAACAACTGCTGGATCCTCGGCGACTCCATGGACGACGACGTAGAAGAACAACAAAAATATTGCGCCGCTGCCATCGTCCTAGCACGAGCCCTTGTACTCCGCGAGAACGAGACACCCGATTCGGATGACCAGTTCACACTACCCCAGATTCCGCTACACGAGGCCCGCCAGATTGTCACACGCGCCGACTTTGTACACCCGTTCGATCACATCAACGTGATTCATATCGATGCGCATGGTATGGTAAGAGCAGATTCTGTGCCGATGCAGAATGCGTTCAGGGAGGTTGTGCAACAACCAGGCTTTGAAGAGCATTTGAAGGCGACGCTGAACAGGTTGGATGAGCTGGAGAGTTTGGCGAGGACGAGGGAGGTTGCGATGAGGGATCCGCCGGATAGGAGTGGGGGGATTGTGCCGGTGCAGACGTATTGTGCGAAACTTTGAGAGGGTGAAGAGGTGGGTTTGTAGGTATCGCGCATGTGCTGCTTGTCGCAGCAGTCTCGATCTTGTGCTTTACGGCACAAACGTTTGCTGCTTACATATAATCTCGCGACTGCGTCTTCATGGTGGATACCCTTCCCAGCTCTCAGCTTCAACAGCTTTCGTCGACAATCATGGTTTTTCTGACTCTGCCTAACAACAGAATCAGTGGAATACTTGATGGAATCAATGCGCTCGTTGATAACAAGGACTTCCAGTCCCTACGGCTGACCTGCCGACGTATTTACCAACGCACCCATGCCTACGCAGTCATTCGCTACGAAATGAAGCTCTATGAGATTGAGATTGATTTCAGTTACCAATCTCTCTGCCTTCTTCTCCAGATTGTCAAGATTCCAGAATTTCGTCACAACATTAACACGATATTCTTCCGCACATTTGGCATCATGCCCCCTCCAAAAGATGAGATTGATGAATGGGAGTGGTATCGAGATCATGTCGAAAGAAAAGAGCGAGACGATTACGAGCGATCAAGTGAAGCTATTTACCTCCTTACTGAAATTCTACGGTACCTATCCGACGCAAGGGAACTCTCTATGATGGAACTCCTCTCCAACTACAACGTTGTTGTGTTTAAGGCCATGGACCTAGCGCAGTTCCCAAAACGCACGCTTTTCTATCTTATTGAACCAAGACGTGTGCTGGATCAAAAGTACGAGGAGTTTGGGCGATCATCTGCTTCATTCGCGCGTTACATGAAGTGGACTACTATTATGCATCAGACCCCACAAGTTGAGTGGCATAGGTTTGTGGCCGACGCCGTCGCCCCGAACGGAGGCGAAGACGAAGGACCACGAGAGACCGCAGCAGAACGCAGGATCAGAAAAGCAGATGAGTACGAAGACGCAATCGACGAAGGCTACCATGTTCGCGATTACCGACTCAACGACCCCCATGTCGCAAGCTTCTTTCACGGCCTAAGTACTGTCCCACACTTGTACATTGACGGCTGCGATCGGTTCCCCCGGCTACGTTTCTGCAACGCTTGTAACGACATCTTCGCTTACAGCATCATTAGAGTACCGTTCACTCAACTCACCACACTCGAAATCGGACACATGTACGTCAGCGGCGGTCGTCTTCAACATTTCATCAAACGTCACTCTCATACACTCAAGAACATTGAATTTGATGGCACAATCCTGACCGATGGCTCTTGGAAAACCATCGCACGAGTTCTCAGACAGATCTCCGGTCTTGAGCACCTCAGGCTTCTGAACGATCTTTGCCAGAAGGCAAACGCTCATCCAACCAAACGTCGACCTCAGAAGTATGTGCCTTACGATGGTTGGCGTACGCCGTTTGATACTCACGCGGCTGTTCGTCGTTTTCTGAAGGATTTTATCAAGTTCTTTTCGACGTCCAGGTATGTGTATAAGCGTGTGCCTCTCCGGCCTTTGCCACAGTATTACAAGGTTGATCTCTTTCACTTGCCGTCTAGGTAGGAGCCTGTATAGAAGCGTTCCGAGTTCACGCAGGCTTTTTCCATCTTCCTCCAAGTGTGGAAGGGAAGTAGGGTGCTGTAGGATAGTAATACCGTCAAGTCCCCTCTCGGTAAGTTGTTGTGTTGATGATACTCCATTCTAGAGGATCTCATCGGATGGGTGACACGTGGATCTCGGAAGTGGTGAGCCGCTCGTCTGCGTCGCGTCGCCGCAGCTCTTGTCGGTACGCTCTTGCGCACAACGAACACGGCCATCACTACTCTGGCTACAAGTCCATCACACCTCCGCTCTCAGACCTAGCCATCAAGCTCTGCCGCGTTGAGAAAATCTCATTCTTCGGATGCGACAATATACCGCGACTTCGGCTGTGTCATGGATGCGAAGATATGTGGGTCAGTCTCTTCGCAAACAACATATATCCACATCTTACCCACTTCGCGCTTGGTAGAGTCTACGTGAGCGGGAGCCGTCTTCGTGGCTTCATCAAACGACATGCTACGACACTACAAACTGTCGAGTTCGGCGACGTAACTCTGACCGACGGAAGTTGGCGCTCAGTTGCTCAGGGTCTACGAAAATGTCCTAGCCTCGACTATCTGAATATGGGTCTGAGTACTCCGTATACGGGGGGCTATCGCACTTGCCCTGGGCTTCTTCAGAAACGCGCCACGTCATCTCCAGCAGCCAGATTACCAGAGGAATTTGTCAAATCCGGTATCGAACACATGAAGAGGGACACAAACTCTTACCCAAGTGCTCACATCAGATTGCACAATAAGACGGATGTCACACGTTGGCTGGACGTATTCATACGATACTTTGCTACTATTGAACGCGATGCGCGCATGGATTGGGCGGATGCTGGCCATGAACCTCCGGTTTATCACGAAGCTTGTACTTTCTTTCTACCCAATTGGAACGAGAATGTACCCGATGTTCTGGACCGAGCGTATACAGCTATGTGTAAGTATCTTGAGGCGGCGGAAGAGGCGTGAGCAGGCATGAAGGTACGGCTTTGTAGGTGATAGCATGCTAAGCATAGCGCGGAAAGATTGGGGTTAGTATCTCCACTACACCATTAAAAAAACACCGAAGATACGCATTGTAGTTCATCGATGAGGTCCTCTAGTTCTATGTGCAGTATAACTCCACCATTTCAACGTGTCAAAGCGCAGTCCTACTAAATCACAGCCATTCCTTCAGTAGCTTTCGCATTCATCCTCATGGCATGAACACTGCAACGGAGAATTCTTAAAGACCCTTGCAGTTGTTAGCGCACATACACGTTCACAGGAAGACACATATACATACCTCAACCGTCGAGTATACGCCGTGTTATAGTCTTCCAATACCCACATGAGATAGCGCAAGATCTGCGACGCAGAGTGCTGGAATGGGAAGAACTGCTCGCAGTCCTCGAATTTGCATTCATACCGGTGGAATTTTGGGCGGTATCGACGGTCCTTCGGATGCAAGGAATCTACGCCAAACCAAGATCCGCAGAACCTCATTGTAGATGCGGTATCTATGTCGTGATCGATTTGACCATATGTATAGGGTACAGCTTCCTTCTCCACGACCTTTCCTAAGCCGTTGATCCAAATCAAGTCGGGGTGGTGTAAAGGTTGGTCAGGTGCGTGGACGTCGGCCATCATTGTTGTTACAACGGTCATGCGGAGCTCCTGGAGAGAGATAGTACGTTCCGCAACGAGATGTTGGCCGCCTGAACCTAGAGAGAATGAGCGAATAGTCACTTCGCGGTCTCCCGGACTTGAAGACGTCTCCAGCACCAATGGTAATATGCTAATGCGCAAGTCTTCCAAGGCGGTTGGTTCTGGCAGGTTGAATTCCAGTACGACCCCGAGCTTATCAGCATCCTCGATTATCCAGGTTTTTCTCTTGAAACGTGGAGTGTTAACCCTTCCCATTTCGTAAGAGTCTACAGGCAAGGGAAACTGATGGCGTAGAAGGCGTGCGAGTTTGCTGAATTTGTTGAATGTGCTACGCTTCTCTGTCGACCGGAGTATTAACGTATACGGGGTTGAGTACAGCAGTTGACCGTGATGAGTCTTATGAAACTCTTGTTTGAGGTGACCAAGACCGAGTGGAAGCTTTGTACCGACGTCCAAATCTATGCGCACCTCTTTTGGGTGAGAGGTCGCTTCCCAAATAATATTGTGGAGGACATGGTCATGCAGACCAAGCAGGGTAAGTTTTGGGCGTGCTAGAGAAAGTCGTCGCCCATCGTCCCCAGCAACAAAGCTGTGTTGTTGATCGGGATCAGGTACCATCCGTGAGTCCTCCCAATCATGTTGAGTCCTTCTCAAGCCGAACGAGCCGCCACGTCCGTCGAAGTCGATTGCGACTGCCCAGACCTGGCTCCGAGATGCCTTGAGCATCAATTGGCCCTCGAGAAGCGAACGGATAACAGCCGTTATGGCTGAAGTATTGCAAGTTATTCCGCTGGCGGACAGGTCATTGATGAAGGTGATGTCTACAGTAAGGTTACAGTCCCAAAGGAACTGGAGTAATGATCCGATGTTGAAGGACTCAGGATGAGGTCGCTTATAGTCTCCAAAGCCCTGGCATGCTACCAAGGTCCAACATTTGGAAAGATCAATGGAGAATTTACGCTGCCAGATTGCATGAGACCCTAGTTTCTTGAGCCATTCATCGTAGAGATCTAGAAGGCGTTCGATATCTAGTGGACCTCGTGGATTGCTTGGTTCGATGACGAACGTGTTATTGGCGTAGAATGACGAAGCCGCATCGAGATATGTAGTTCGACACGCCAAAAACAGATTTCTGGGCATTCCAAACCCTGCACCAAAATGGAAGTGTCTGACTGAATAGAGATTGAATTCGATCACGATCGGCTCCGAGTATTCGACGAGATATCCAAAGATCTGGTTTCGAATCTCAGCGGGTAGCTTGACGAGGGAGTGTCTGCTTGGGTCTATTGGCTTTGATTTGCCTATAGCTATAGGCGAGGGGATGATATATCAAGGCATGTTAACTTCTGGTCAGGATCGAGCAATCAACCTGGTGGGTGGAGTAGACGAGGTAATTGGTTGAGAGCTCTGCTGTGAGTGCGAGTACTGCTGAGACCCAACCCCCCTACAGTATATAGAGGGTAGAGACCAGGAGTTCCCACACGGTTGCTCGCAACGCTGTAGCCTTGATCCGGAGACTAAAGTGAAACGCTGGATTTGCTGCTTCTGCAAAGCTAGAGAGTGGCAGATGTGGCGAGCTCCAATCCTTTGCCTCCGCTTATCATAGTGAACTCGGTCATCGGGTCACAATGGCAACGAGGTAGTGTAGTCTTCCGACCATCATTGGGAACGTCAGTCCAACATATCAAGCCTCCAGAACCATCCTTCTTAACCGCCACGGCACGCACTGCATCCCCCTTCTCCCTAAGCCCCAACTGCCCCTCGAGCAGTGCATTAACAACACCCATAATCTTCTTAGCGCACTGTCTCTCAACATTCCCCATCCAATACTCCGCCCTCTCTTCCTCCACACCCGTATCGTCCACATCGATAAGCCTAATCTCAAAGTTAAGACGGCGACTCCAAGCTACACGCAGCAATACCGTAACTTCCACAACATCCATTCTTGGGCCAAACGCTCTCGTCCCTTCATACACATATGTATGGAGGTATACACTATCTGGGAAAGTAAAAGTATCGAAAACAACCCTCCTCACAAGTCCAGCCCTCGAACCCACGGTATCGAAGAATTTGACCAGCGCGCTGACGAAACATGGGCGCGCGAAAGTAGCGAATTTACTTGTTCGGTTCAGCAGGAAGGTGTTGGCGGAGTAGAACACTGATGATGCTTCTGCGTTGATTTGTCGGCATGTCAGGAAGAAAGCGGTGGGTATCGTGGTGTTGGATGCATATGGCACGACTGGTTTGGGCCTGTTGCTTTCGGGATCTTGGTAGAAGTACAGGCGGGTTGGAGAGGGCCGGTGGCAGAGGTGGTGGTAGATCTTGTTGCGGAGTTCGGCGGGGAGGGCGAGGAAAGATGGGGTGTCAGGTACAACAGGCTTTGATTGCTCACTGCTGTGGGATGTTGTAGCAGCGCGCATGATATGTAGCTGTGATTGAGAACATGTCTACAGAATCGATGGAGGAAGTTTGGAAGCAGAGGAAAGTACGTGCCTATGTCTGAAACCCATCGCCCAAGCGCCGCATACACTCATAGCTATGACGTCCACTGAATGTATCGGGAGATATTGTTCTATGATGAGGTTCATGTTCATGAATGACAGCCACACAGTCACCGACTTCGAGTCATAGTTAGCGGGGTCGAAGAATCATTTTAACTAGATGACGCATTCCTCCAGAATTACCCAGAAGTATGCGTTACCTTTAAATGTAAGTAAATTCTTGTTTTTAGACCAGCGTAGACTACAGGCACCCGCTGTATCTCTTCCTTGTAGGCGGTGATCAAATGTTTCGCAAAGCCCATTAATTCTGCCTCCGCATTCATCATTCATCATGACAAAGTATACGCCCAGTCAGCCACACTCGACAAGTCGTCGTTGGCATTTCTAAGCGGGCAGTCATCTTCGCAGGCGCAAGAAAGCGGTGGAGCCTTCAACCTGCACCCTATTAGTAAAACCATCCACACTATCAAAGAAGCATATGAAATTGCAACTTACGTCTTGAAGTATTTTGGATAGTCATCGATACTCTTCATGAGATACACCAAGGTCTCTTTCTCATCAGCCCTGAAAGGGAAGAACTGCGTATCGTCATAGTATTCACATCCCAGATCTGCTTCACACTCTCGATAATTGCGATCAATAGGATGGAGAGTTCGAACGACAACGGGGTGGTATATTCCGAGCGCAATCTCGGAGGCAGGCCCCCAAGCTCCACCCGTGTCGTCAACCGAGTCGTGGACAGTCTCGACAATTTCTCCGAAGCCGTTGGTCCAGAAGTCGGGTAGGTAGGACTTATTTGATATTCCTGTGAATGCGCAATCCAGAATAGCTTTGATTACGTTCAGTCGTAGTCTGGTGAGGGGCATGGAGTGGGCAGCTGTCATGGCTGAGGAGCCGTCGGGTGTAGGGGTCCATATTTGGATTGTTACTTCATGATGGGTTGGTGTAGTCGAGGTTGCCATCACAAAGGGCAGGATGTTGATGCGGATATCGCTCAGTGTGGCTGGGCTACTCAGATCGAACCTGAGGATATAGTCTAAGCCAGTCGGACGATCTCTGCCTGATGTTGCAATAGTCCTCATCGACTCATCCGTCATCGGGTCACGGCTGTAACCGGATTTAAATGACTTGCGGAGGAACCGTCTCAGATTATCGAAGTTCTGGAATGTAGTGCGGACGTCGCTTGTTGCCACCGTCAGTATGAAGTGGTTGTGGAACAGGAAATGCGACCTCCAAGTCTCGAGGATTTCTTGATTGGTATGCAGCAATCCGCAGTTGAACTTAGTCTCCTTGTCGAGATCGATAGCTATGCTATCAACAGAGTTGATGATCGTGTCGAAGATGAGTCGGCGTATGCGTTTAGGGATACCGAGTAAAGAAGCTTGATTGCTCTTCACAAGCTCCAGTCGAGACCCACTGCCCTCCGCTACGAAGGCCGACATATGCTCAGGCCCTGGAAGTATCCTAACCAGTTGCGGATGTGCGCCCCGATAGTCGTAATTTGTAGTACCCCAGTTGATCATTCCTCCGGAGCCATCTCGCTTTAGACCAACGGCAGCAACTAGTCTTCCATACTGCCGTAGCTTCAGTTGGCCCTGTAGAATGGATCACATAATTGTAGTGATTGATGAAGCGTGGCACTGAAAAACTTCCCAACCCTGATGATTAGCAGGACCAAATGGCTGGGTGAACGAGACATCCACATCAACTTGAAGACGCCAGATAGCCCGCAGAAAAGGAGTAACCTCAAACAGCTCCAGTCTCTCGTCGAACACCCGTTCTTGCTCCTCGAAGTCATTGTCCAGTCGAGCTTCTCCCCTGAAGCAGTTCTTGGTTTGTAGATGATCTAGATCCAAGACAATGTTACGCAGCCAATGCGCTTGTGATCCAAGACGGCTGAAGAATTCTCGTGGTACTTCGACAAACGAGCTGGGTAGGTCTGTTGGATTGGGGAGACAGCGCAGAATTCGAAAGGTGTTGCTCGAGTAGAGCATAGTACCTGCTTCGCGATACAGCGTTCGGCATGACGCGAAGAGATCCACAGGAGGCTGAACCTAAGAAGCAAAACGAAGTCGCTTGTCTTTATCGTAGGCCGGGCGATAATGAGTACCGTATACCACGCTCACTGATGTGCGAGACTCGACCAGATAGCTGAAGATGTGATTGCGGAGTTCGCCGGGTAGATCCAAAATCGAAGGCTTGTCTAGATCGGCGCGCTTCGAATCTCCGAGACTGAGGGGTGAGACGGGGTGGAAGTTATCCATCGCGAGTACAGACGCTGGGGGGTACCAAACATCCTGGCATTGGTTGTTAAACTCTCTGTAAACCTTGCCTGAAGGTGAGCCTGGAGGTGAGCCTAAAACCGAGCCTTGAGTCGAGCCTTGGGTTAAGGCTTGATTTGACATTTTCGGCAGTCAAGCGAAAGGTGGTTGGGGCGGCGACAGTAGTCCTTGAGGTAAGAAACTAGACCTCAAGTACTCCCTCGGAGAACACTAGGCACCAACATTGGGTGCAACCTGAACCTAGCCGTGGTCAGTGAAACTGCGCATAGCAACTTACAGATATGAGGCCGAGCGCTGTATACCCTCGGTTGACGAGTGTAAATGCGCAAAGACAATGGCTCGCGATCTGGAAGATGGCGCGGTTAGGTACCCAGCACTCGCTTTATCATCCATCGCAGATGCCACACAACGTACCTATTCTCCATCCCGAGCAAGATGTAACAAATCCACTACTCCAATCGAAGACGCCTTGCATCAAAGCCATTTGATCCTACTCTTGTCAGTATGCGAAGATGTACCATGACGACTGGAATTGTAGTGTAGTTGAGCGCGGTAGGTGAGAAGGTCGTGCGGTACATGGTTAATGCGGAGTCATCGTTGCGGAGTCAAAGCACCATGGACGAAGAGTGGCACCAACACAATGACGCACGTTCCCAGGTCACACACGTCATATCGCGACAGTCATAAAGTTCCGCGGGCATCGAAAGCATTGCTAGTAATCCCCTTGCTGTTCCCATTGTGTTCGCGAGATCTAAATCTGCGCATCGCAGTCTACAAGTCGTTGCCCAAACTGCTGTTTATTACCCCGTACTCTCAATCTAGAAGACTAGCCCGCCACCCGCCGTCACACAACACAAAACTAGCTTTTGCATCTGCGTGACCTCCAAGGGGGTTTGTAAGCTGTTCCGCATGAAGCGCAATTTCACGCGCCATCTCGAGCGTAATACCTAGAGTCGGGTTCATCGTTTGCAGAGTAAGTTTCGTCGGGGATTGTGTGTTCAAATGGCTCCGCGGGAAGATGACTGTGAACAGGTCAGTATATGTAATATATCGGTAGAAATGACAGCTTACCCGCCAAGTACAGCCTCATACGGTCCCGCCCGATCAACAATCTTGACGAGATAGGGTAGGATTTCGCTCACCTTCCGCCGGAAAGGGAAGAATTGAGCATCGTCGTCAAGAACCGCCCTCTCCGATAAGATTTTGTCAGATCGATAATGAATATCGATAGGATGTAGCCTCCACACTACAAACCCTCCCTCGGTGTTGCCAATTGGGACAAGCTCAGAGGCTGGTTCCCAAGCGCCTCCTAGAGCTTCATCGACGTTCTCCACTTGCACGACTTCTCCGAAGCCGTTGATCCAGAGATCTGGGAGTTCGTCCCGGGAATGGAGGTGGAACGTTGGGATGGAATACACGTGGTGCATTATCGCTAATACGATTTTAAGTCGCAGTTGGTGGAGTGTCATGGTATGAGACGCAGTCATGGTTGCTGGTCCCTCAGTGCCGGGGGTTGTGCAAATTTGGATTGTGACTGTGTTTGATGCTTGCGTAGTCGACGTCTCCATCACGAGTGGTAACGCATTGATACGCACATCGGCCAGCGAGACTGCGCCGTCGAGTTCAAATCGAAGAACGTACGAGGGGCCGGGCTGCCGATGCGCCTCGTCCCGGGTGACGATCCTCGCGGTGATGGTATCTGGCTCTCCAGCTGAGTAGGTCGATTTGGGCATGTAGGTCTTGCGGAGGAAGGTGCGGAGATGGTTGAAGTCGTTGAATGTCGTGCGCATCTGCCTTGTTGTCATAGTTAACACGAACTTGTTTTCGAAGAAAAACTTGTCGCGCCAAGTGCGGTATAAGCGTCTGTTAACGTGGACGAGCCCGCATTTGAATTTCTTGTCGTGGTTGAGATCGATGGGTGTACACTCGGTGGGATGTACGACCATGCTATAGATGCGGTCCTGGATAGACTCAGGCAGGGTGAGCAAAGTCAATGGTGTGCTACGTTGCGTGACAAGCTTGAGCCGAGACCCGTTGTCTTCAGTAATGAAGTCTGTCAGATAGTCAGGATTCGCCTGGAAGCGACTTGGGCATCGGTATGGCCTAGATGTAGCTGGAGTAGTACCCCAACTGAGTATCCCGCCTGATCCGTCGCGCTTCGAGGCAACAGCGCGCAGCTGCTGTCCATAACGCCGGAGTCCAAGTTGGCCCTGGCAGATAGACTGGAAGATAGCAGTCATGGCCGTAGTGTCACACTCAGGGCACTGCACAAGACCAAAAGTACTGGGATCCGGCGACCTGGTGAAAGAAACAAGCACCGACGAGTCTCGACTCCAGATAGCGCGAAGGAGGGGTGTAACTTCGAGAAGCTCGGTCCAATCGTTGAATACAAAGCCAAGCCCCTCGTCACATCTGTGGTATCGGTATTCTGCTTGGGAACTCACATCGAGTTCCATCCTGGCGAGCCACCGCGCTTGGGTCCCCATGCCTCTGATGAAGGTGCTGGATATCTCAGCGTAGGAGTGGATTATTAAGGCTTTATTATCTTCTTTCAACGTGTACGTGTTGTTGGCGTAAAAAGTTGAAGCGGCCTCATGGTATAGCTTTCGGCAGGAGAGGAAGAGACTTATGGGGATGCGTGACTGGCCGTCGAGATAGAGACCTAGATCGCAAGTCCAGGGCCCTATTCCGTGGTATCGTACATGAATCAGTGATGGAGTTCTGATAACGCAATCGTAGATCTGATTGCGGATTTCGCCTGGTAAGTCCAAGATAGAATGCTTGTCTGGGTCCGCGCGCTTCGAGTCGCCGGGAGCAATAGGTGAGGCGTAGTAGAAGTCTTCCCTTGGGGATCTGAATTCAGGGAGCTCGTGGTTCCATACTCCACAGTCAAATGTGTCGAATGTGGACATAGCGTGGACTGACATTTTCGGTGGTTGAGGAAAACGTGTTGAAAGCGCCGAGAATCTTATAACCTCGAGGAAGCGAGACCCCAAGTACCACCCAGGAATCTACCAGGCACCAGCGCCCCAATGAACCACAAAGCAGGCTTGGCACTCCAGAGTGAATACCCTACCCCTCGTACTTACAGTCCATACCCCCTCAACCACCTCAACTCCCTAGCCTGATGCTTCAGCGCCCTCCTCATCTCAACACCATACTGTCTCTCCCTCATCTTCTCCCCTCCCTCCTCCCCATCACCCTGCCTCTCCAACGCATCCTCAAAAACGTCCCTCGCCATCGGCGGCTCCTTGCCAAAGCCCAGCAGCCCCAACTTGCCATCTCCCGTCCACAACACCAGGTTATTCAGACCAAGAGACTCAGTCCCAGAAGAAGCCGGAGAGTAAGGCGTAAGCAGCGAGGAATTAGTCGTAGGCAATATCTTCTGCACAATATCCCCCCACCCCGCTTCCTCCTCCGGCGTCGCATTCACAAGACTACCGTGATGATGCCGTTGCGACACAGTCTCCCCATCCCTGCTCCTCTGGAAATCATTAATGTTGAACTGCCGCACGGGCGTACTCCCATCCCGTTCAACCCACTTCAAATTCCCGTCGCCATCCGAGAAAACAAGTCGCGTGCCCTGCGGCGCCACAGCCAACAACTTGGAGCTACTAGCCGTCTGCCGATTCTGATAATACGCTTTCTGGTTACGCGTCGTGCGGCTGTCGCTCGAGTTGATAGAACGAGACGGTTCATTCGAGAGGCCGTATAATTCCAGCGAGCCTTTGCCTTTGTATTCACCCGCGGCGATCAACGTGTACCCCGGTGTAGATTTCGCGTCGCGCAACAATGCCGGACTGCTGTACGGTCTCCCCAGTCTCAGATCTTGTGGTACAAAGGGATGCGGTATAGCCGTGATACACGATAGCCTTGCGCCAGAATGCACAGTACCGCGTAGTCTCGGGAAAGACCTCCGGTCAAAGTTCAACATGCTGGTGAAGCGTCCTGCGACCCAGATATCGCCGTTTCCATCCCAGTCGCGCGTTGTAGGTAGGTGGAGTATGGACAGCGCACCCGGCTGGGAGAGCGAGACGTGGCCGTCGAAGTCGCCGGTGTCGAGGCGCGAGAAGTCGCTGTCGGTTGGGCCGCCGATGAGCTCGCAGCGGACGGACGAAGGCGGTGCGGGAGGTTTGCGCGAGTCGTGGAGGTGTAGCGTCCAGTTTGTGCCGACTGTGAGGGGGGTGCGGTGGTGGGCTTCCGAGAGGGCGGTGATGGGGAAGGGGTACGGTGTTCGTGAGACGACTTGGAGGGTGTTGAGATCGACTTCGTTGAGGGCGTTTTTGACGGCGAAGAAGCCTTTGTGGAGTTTGCTGTCAATGCTCACGCATTCGACGGCACCGGTTTCTGTCATGATGGCTTGGCTTTGTGTGAGGCGCGTGTCGTAGTCGAGGTCTGAGCCTCTGCCTGGTAGCAGCCCGATGTCGCTCTTCGCTAGCATCTTGCCCTGTCGGTCGCTGCTCGCTGAGGCGTCCCAGATACTGATACTGCCATCGTCGAGGGGGGCGATGAGCTTGTTTGCTAAGCCATCGTCGTCGAACAGGATACCTGCACCCGTAGCCTCCCTCCTTATGGCCCCCTCGTATTTGTCTGTCCCAGCATCCTGGAACCAGCTAATCTTCTGCTCGGCATGCCGCTGTATGAAGTCCTGGTACCAATTCACCTTCTCACCAGGGTAACTAGGATCCCAATTCGCAATCAGCGCCTGCCTCCGCTTCTCCTGATTGCGCTCCTGCTGTGACTCAGCACTTGGCGCGCTTTCATCATGTACAGAGGTATCGAAGGTGTTGGCGAGAGTGTCAGCGGCGCGTATCAGCTCGGCGAGGCGGGGGTCGATGTCGGTGGTGATTTCGAGACGGCGGCGACGGCGCTCAGCGACCGAGTGGGTGAAGCATAGCGACTTCCAGAGGTTGTTGTCGCGCGAGAGGTTGAGGAAGCGGCGCGATACGTGTTGGAGAGCGACGAGCTCCGAGGGTTCGAGGTCTGGGGAGGGTCAGCGCTCGGCGGGGGATGCGCGTGATGGGCACGGATGCTTACAGGAGATGATGTGGAGGATCAGCTCGTCGGGGAGATGTATCATGGTTCTTGAGGAAGACTTAGCACCCTGACAGTATGCATAGATATATGTAAGATGATTGTGGTCTGTATGTCGAGAACAATGGCGGATGCGACACGTTTATCTTTCGCATCTCACGGTCGAGATTCAAGGGCTCAAGGGCTGACGACATGCCGCCTCGGTCCATGACTCGTTGCCCTTTCCCCACACACCGCCTTTCCTCATCAAGCTCACCGAAAAGCGAGGTTGATATCTGTGTATGTTGAGCGTAAATATATCGCGTAAGATTCATGATTCTTATACTGGTGGTATCATCATCAATATAGATACATTGAACAATAGTCGACTCAAAAGCGGAAAGATACTCTCGAATGAGGTCTATCGGAAGTTTGGAGACCTCAACATAGCTACATGAATCTCGCATTCCAAGATTAGATCACTATCTCCATCCCTATCTCCCTACTTTCCATCTCAAGAAAACCGTACTCATTACACACGAAAAGAATCCGCGCATGGTATCATCCCTATATTTTGCTTCAAGAACGAAAAAAAGCCGAAAATTCCCCATCACATGCCCTTGTGTTGTGTATGTGCTCCCAGAACGCCCCCAACCAATACCAATGCTCATCCCCACGCTCTACCGATGATGCATCTGCTTCTCCACATCCTCCGGCGGCGTCGTCACGCTCGGCAGCTCCGCCACAGGCTGCGGCGGCCTATACGCCTGATACGGCTGCCCCTTCTCATTCAGCACCGGATGCACACTCGTATCCGCCAGCTCCGTCGCTTCAGGATGCTGAGCATGCGCAGCAAACGCAGCCTGATTACTCGCAGGTGAGTACTGCGGAGGAATAGTATCCCAGGTCGTACGATTCGGATCACCGTTTCCGTTTCCGCCTCCGATGCCAACGGCGTCGGGTCCGTAAGGCGTGCCCTGATGACCCGGCTGAAACCCGTTTCCAGACGGTAATTCAGACACGCGATTTGCGCGCCCCGCGCCAATTGGGTTCCCGTCGATTTCCGCGGTCGCAGGCCGGGAATTGCGATACGTTTCCTTCTTGCTCTTGTTGAGTTTTCCGGCAGCAGCACCAACAAGAGGACTATCGCCTTCGACTTCAGAAGAGGGATCGTGGTAGGGGTTGGCTTTTTGTTGGCGGCGCTTGCGGAGGAGCCAGAAGATTATGCCGACGAGGGCGAGGGCGAGGGGGATGCCGACTGCGCAGCCGATGATGAGGCCGAGGTTGGATTTTGAGCCGCCGTTGGAGGAGGAAGAGGAGTCGTTGTTGGAGGAGCTGGAGCCGGCGGTTGGGGTGGGGGTTACGAGGACGGTGTTTTGGATTGTGACGACGCCGCCGCCGGCGCTTGTAGAGAGGCTTTGGACGACGGAACTGAAGGGCGTGGTCGCGGCGTCGTCGGCCGTTGCAGTTGCAGAACCGGAGTTGGGAGCGTCGGTAGAGGGAGAACCTGAAGAACCTCCTGCTGTCGTCTTGGATGCTTGGTTTCCTCCTCCTGATCCACCGCCGCTCGACGCCAGACCGGTGATAGTCGCGAGGTTGGGAGCAGTCGAAGCTTGGTTTTGGCCAATTGTCGCATACGCCTCTCCGTCCTGCAGCGCGAAGAAAGGTCGTGGCGAAGGTGATTCCTTGCAACAGTTTACGTTTACGTTGTCTGCGTTGCAGCACCACTGGTCATCGTGGTCTTTGCATTGTGTGATCGACTCGCCTCCAACAGCTTTCTGATCTGCTGGATCTTAGCAATGATCAATTGGAGAATCCGAGGTACTTACTGTTATTGATAGTGCACATGTTCGACGCACAGCCTTCTGCTTTCCAGTCCTTGTCCGTACAGCTATATCTGCCGTACAGGTTGTCGGCCGGTAAGTGGCAGAGACCATTGTCCAAGCATTCCCAGGTATCCGGACAGCAAGCAGAACCCTCTACTGACGAGCAGGGCTTTTCTGAATCCGGCGCCTCTTTGCCATTGGGATAGTCTGTTCAGTCAGTTGCTGTGTACTAAAGGTAACATCAGGTCCCTCTTACAGCATTGCTGAGCAGTAGCCTGTGTCGCAAGAGCAACAACAGCAGCAGCGCGCAACCACATAAGCGTAGGCATAATGCGCGTTCACCAGATGGGTCCCTTGTTCGGCTCAAAGGCGGTACCTGAAAACCTCTCTTCGATCCTTGCAGTCGGAGTCGAGATCGTAACTCCCGCGACGTCGATAGTGGAGAAGGGTGAAGGTGAGAGAAGCGAAGCGAGCAAAAGTCCCGAAAGAATCGAGAGTGTAGAAGGTAAGCAAGCAGGTGCCAGCCGACAAAGTCAAACCAGCAAGACAAGGAGCGAAAGACACTGCACGATGATCGCACGCCCGTTTGCCTCCAACCCCAGTCTCGCTCATCCAGGATATACACCGAACGAAGCAGTGACCCACCCAAGCAAACTTTACCCCATTTGTCCAATCAAGCCAATTAAACCAATTAAACTACAGTCTCCACAACGCATCACGCTCACGCCCGCCCCTCGGTTGCTCGCAGTCCGTTCGTTTAGTTACCGAGAGGCTGGGCGGGTCACAGTGAGGTCATCGGGAAATACCATCACCACCATCAACACCCATGCACAGCGGCGCTCACGTTCCTTGCACTAAGTGTAGGTCATAGCGGCCGCCCTCGTATCAGCAGCGTGCGCCAGGCGGGAATTTAGAAAGGTTGCGATGCGAGGTGGTACCAGGGCGGCGATGGCGATCCCATGCGATGCGGCGATGTTTGTGGCTGAGGCAGAGTGAAACTAACGCGTGCGCACGCCGTCTTTGATTGTGGGCAGTCTGAAGCTGTTGTCGCCCGCAGAGTGAACACCTACTGTTACCATTGCTGCGCAGGAGTGACCTACCCTACCTGCCGTTCTGCGATGCGATACGAGCGATCGCCGCCCGCCATTTCGACCGTCGCGGACACTCGCACGCTCGCTCGCATGATTCAAGCCAGAAAACCGGCTTTTCCGCGCCCTCGTGCGCTACAACTGTTCGCTGTCTTCCCACCAACCCTGCGGATATCCGTCTCTTATATTAGACAGGTGTCGTAGGACATATGCGCTTTGTACCAATTGCCATGTCTCGCTTCGGAGCGTCGCATGTTGAACCACACCGTCCCGTCATTGTCTCCCTCCGCGGCTCCTATTCCACATCCACGCATCAATAATATCCCGTCTCTACTATCCTCGCTTCTATGACAGCGAAGGCGGTGGGATCGACCAATAGTCGGTAATGAGCGCTTCGTATCACGGATGGTGGTGTTTGAGCTATGCGGATGACGAGCCTGGTGGTCCTGTTGCACGGGGGAAAGGTCCCGAGGTCGATGTTGCAAGCACAAGCGGAAAATACTAATTCTAAATACGGTGGGCACGCCAACAATGCAGGTGGTCTCTCAGCCTTGCGAGACCGTTCAGAGACGGCGTGGTTGCCCTGCGTCAGGACTGCGACTTCATGCACACCCTTTTCTCTGGTGGCTTCGCGCGAGCTTCGTATTTGTGGCATCGGAATGTTCGGCGCGGCACTGTCGTTGGATTTATTAAGGTATGCAGGTGTTGTCGATCTACCGGGCCTTACGCTGTCATCTTCCTGGGGAGTGCAGAGTGCACTGTTGTTGCAAGTAAACATTTTGTGTAACTAGAAGATGTTGGTGCTGCGCACAACATTGCACGAGGCAGTGCATTCATTTCCAAGTGACAGGTCACACAGCGTCCCATCAACCAAACACCAAATGTCAAAGGATCTGGTTTGAAAGAGTAAGGATATAGTAGGCTCAACCTCGGCACAACCTCACCTTCCATCGGTCCTTCGTGTTCTTTAGAAGAGTCTTTAGTGCTGCAACATTCGGCGCGCGACTCCACCAAGACACTTTGCCTCCCGTATTCGGTCGCTTCACGGATTAGTGATAGACGGTCGTGCTGCGCTAGGCAATCAATAGCCGGGTTGTGGTCGGCATCTGTACTAGATTACCTATCAGGAACTGCATCTGTACAACCTTGGAAGTCCGTGGCTAGTCGCGAGCATCATTGCATGGCAAGATACCTAGGTACACATTGTGGTCTTCATCGTACTACAACATCGACAAACTTCCTCCCACGTCACCCTAGGAAAGACCTGAACGCCCTGGAGGCTACATCGACGTCAAGTCACCAACTCTGCATTTTCTCATCTTGATGTAGTCTCCGAATCTGCTTTCCTGCCTTACAATCACCACCTACCCATCGAAACGTTAGATTCTGAAGAAGCGAATAGGGACCGTTACTGGCAGCATGCTCTATCTAGGTCTTCAATGATGAAGATAGCCGCGCATACATACCATCTCATCCTGCCACCACACCGCAACCACCGACACACTCCCTCTCTCCCAACCTCTCTTCCTGGCCGATACCACAGCCATCCCATACCACGAGCGCCGTAATCCCATCGACTCGCCGTACGCGTCGAAGTGCATCTTTCCAATCGATCGAATCTACAGTTCTAAAGGAAAGAATACATTGAAGACAAGCAACGGCAAAGATGGGAGGAGAGCAAAGTCGCAGCTACTACCAAACCCATTGAACAAGATCAATAGCTCGGTTGGCAAAGGTGTAGGCATAATAATTCTGGGGCCATCAGCTCCAAGTTCACCAAGGTGCAGTCGTAGATCATAAAGCACCAGCACCTACACATCACTCATACACAACCGCGCTCACGTCACAGACGAGGCAGCATCACGTCACACATTCGACTTCAAGCCCGACGGTATTGTAGGTTTTCATCTCATTCATGATGCCTATCAAACAATGCAGGATGCAGGCAAGGCTGTTTGTGCCTTGCCCTCCTTGCAAGCCAGCAGTATTACGTGCTGGCTATCCCGCCCTCCCCTCTTCCTAAACCATGATATCATATCGAAAGAAATCGTTCGTCGTTCATGTTGACGCTGAAGTCGACGCTGATGCTAACCCTGGAGCTGGAGCAGCAACGAAGCTCTTAGTGGGCTTGACGTCCGCCCTGGGTCTCGTTGGTGATGCCGATGCGCTCGGAGTTCTATTCATATCACACACACATTAGCAACTGTTCTTACAACGCACGGCGGGGTAAAAGAGTCTCGAGTCTCGAGTCGATCGCATGACCACAAAGCACAGCAGGAAGAACATACCTCAGAGCTCTGCACACTTCCCTCCTGAAGAATCTTCTTGAAAATATCATCCTCCTTGGCGTCCTTGCCAAACTCGTTCTCAAGCTGCTGCTTGCTAGCCGTGTTGAGGACACCTTGCTTGCCGTGTTCAGGAACAAGCACCTTCCACCCAGCCACAACGTCAACCATGGGAATCGTGCTATCAGCCTTCCACTTCTGAACCTCCTCTACGCTCTCGACGAAGATGCAGAATTGGTCGCCGGAGCTGCCCTTGTAGAAGACTTGGGTTTGGGGGGAGTTGCCGCGGGCCATTGTTATTAATCTGTCTGGAGTTTCGTGTGGGTATCCGTGTAGTGTTTCTTGGATCTCGCGGGGAGAAAGATGTGGTGAAGTAGAGAAGAGTGAGATGTGTGTGTAATGGGTATCGAGTGATGTGGTGGGATGGAGGGGAAGCTTTAGAGGGGCTATTTAGAGCTACGTGATCTGGAGCTTTGACCGGGTGGGCGGCTACGTCATTGCCAAGGGTTATTGCGCGCTCTCACGACAAAGCACCTGGTAGAGTAATTGTGCACGCCTTGTTTTGCATGGGATTGCAGCTGGATTGCGGCTCTTTGGGCTGAAACAAGCGGACCGGATGGTGCCATGGTCCGCTCACCATCCAGCCAGACCGTCTATCCACGCATTTGATTCTATCAATCAAGCGTTCCTAAATCCGGGAGATGAACTGACAGCGCGAGACTTCCACCACCTCCCCTCCTCCTCCCCTCCGCCTCCCCCACCCACCCGGCGGCTACGTCATTGCCAAGGGTTATTGCGCGCTCTCACCTGGCATGGTAATTGCGCACGCAAGCTCTCACGCCTTGTTTTGCATTTTGCATTGAGGCTCTTTGGGCTGAAACGGGTGGGCAAGGATGGATGCCGGCTTCTGTCTGCTTTCCCATGCGATGCGATGAGGCTGAGGAATTGCATTGTACACAACACCAACATCAACCAGAAGTAAACATCGAACACACATCTCACTCAAGTTGTTCAAAACGTATAACCATGATTCAATCATTACTATCCAAATACTTGTCCCATCACAAACAAACGCCACCCCTCCATCATGCGATCGCGTGCCCATGTACCAGTACGTACGTGTCCAATGTCCCAAACTCGCTAGCCGCATGACGTCATGCCGAGTTCCCGATCCCCCAGACTTTCAACCAGCCCACCATCAACGGTGGCTGCCCAGATCGTGAGAGAGAGCGGGTGTACCTTGCAGTAACGCTGTGCTGATCGCATGATTAATCGTTATGTTTGTTACACTGGCCCTTAGTTATCGGAGTTGTTGCCGTCGCCGTCATCTCAGTCGTAGTATTCATGTTCTCGTACTTGCTGTTGGAGCAAGGATAGTGTGGTCGTGAAGTCGTCAAGGGAAGTATGTACGTTGCGTTTTGGTGGACACCCAATGCGTGTCCCGCTGGTATGTGATGTTGGTCCAACAGGATATGTGTGTTGGATCATCGGAAGAAATTAAAGATCCTACTCTTGCTCTTCGAAAACTTGTTCGAGGTCGAGTGGTTTGAAGATGCAGGCCGGGATTTGGGAGTGGGCTCTTCTTGCCGTCGTTGTTTCCTGTTTTCTATGTTTTTGGTTACCTCGGCGCAGGGAGGTGGTGCGCGGACGGTGGTTGCTGTTGATGCGTGGGAGACGGTTCTTTCGGCGACGCGAGCGCGTGATTCTGATCGTGGGAGACTAATCAGATGCGTGGAAAGACGTCGAACCTTCTTTGGTTTGCTCTGTAGTGGTTTATCGATTGGACGCTCAACGCCTATCGCTCGATTGGCAAGACGGCGGCGTCTACTCGAAGGTCGCGTGTCTTCTACCTCAAAGTCTTCTGGTAGAAACGCAGCGGGTGCGGAATGGAAGTCAACAAGTGAAGGGGTCGGCCTTCGATCAGTCGCTGATTGAGCTCGCAGGTTCCCGTTCGACATCTTATGAACGCGGCTTCCGAAAGAGTCTTCTGACCGCGTGTTGCTCGTGTTGGAAAGACTGGGCGAGCGACGCGAGAAATTGCTTGCTATGCTTGCTATGCTTAGCTTTCGCATCACTGAGTTTGCTGAAGCTCTGATTTGGTTCTCCATCCTCCGATTTGACATGCCCGGAAAGGGCAACATGTCTTTTGTCCAGACGTCTTCCAATGTACTCTCGAGACGTACGCGCTCAGCTCGTCGCGGGGCAAGTATAGGAATGTGATTTGCGGAGAGGTGCGATTGAGATCGAGTTACTATACTTGGGGAAAACGTCGGAGGCGTATCGGGTAGCTTTTGCGCCTGGGTGTTCTTGATAATGACTTGACTCGTGTTGGTCTTCGCACCGAGAGTCGCCGCCCGATGGACTGACATGCGTCGTACTAGAGTATTTGCATGACCGAAGACAGACCCAAGAGACTTGAGGCCTAGCGATAGGGATGTATACATGTCCTGCATGGTGGACTGGCCTTCAACGAAATCGTGTGTCTCATAAACAATACGCTCGCGCAGCTGCTTTTTCCAAACCTCCTCTTCGTGAGAAGTGCAGGCGCTGAAGATGAGTTCGTGTAAGCGATGGCCGTGCTCGAAGACGAATTTCCACGTATGTGGAGCAGTATGGCACTGTATGCCGCGGCCATTATCACATTCCTCGATGCTGGCGTTGGCAAGCCCGACCGAAGCGACGACAGTATATGGTGTGTGGAACCGGCTTGCTGTTGCGAGTACAAGACATGACTTGTACAAAACACAAACCATGTACGCGCCTTTGATACGATCGGGTGTTTGATATGTCACATGCAGAGCGCCACATAGGAGGACATGTCCAAGAAGGCGAAAGACAAGAGCTCGAGAAATCTTCTGTTCCGAAAACGCTAGGCGGTCTTGCAGTTGCCATGTAATCTCAATAAGCCGCCGGGTCTGAGGGTCATCTTTCGCCTTGTTGACTTCGCGGATAGTCTCTTGCAGTCGAAAAAGAGCTTTTTCGAGCTCAGCATGCGCTTCTGGGTCGTCGTAGACGGGAGTGTGGCGGCATAGGTCGTCGAACAGTAGTGGGTACTTGCACACCCTCTGAATCGGCTTGATCAAGAGATCTGGAAAGCTGAGCGCCTTCTTGCTCCCTGCCTCTCTGTTGTTCTCGGATGCGACCACCTTCTGCAGCGCTTCGACTCCGCGCTCGTATTCTTGCCAACCATGCAGTCCTTTGCACATTGTGGTAAGATCCTGTGACATGGTCGTCCAATGTGCGCCATACTCCTCGTATGTGAAGAAGCGTTTCATCTGATCTTGTTAGCGAAGAGTATTGTAAGAGTCGCGTGTGGCTCACATGTTTGTTGAAGATCTTGGCAATGTTCCCGGCCGTCTGCGTGTCCGTTACTAGGCCTCGCGGTCTGCGGTCTGGAGATCGTCCAATCTCCAAAGAATGCCTCAGCCTCCTGGCGGTCTTGTGTTCGGCGAAGCGCCCCGGCACAATGTCGGCGCTATGGAAGCGGATATGTTTGGCTTTCGTCACGGGATATGACTCTTGGTGCGCGCTTCTGGTGAAGTCTGCCTGAGGTACAACTTGGTGAAGTTCGGCGAGCAAGTCTTCGTGAAGCTGTAGAATCTGGGAGATATTCTGTTGTATGGATGATCGTGTCTGGCCTGACAGAGTAGGAAGGGCAGTAAGGATCATGAAATAGTCCTGCTTAGATTAGAATGGTAGAGTCAACCCAGTGGTAGGTAACATACGTTGATCAAGACCTTGAGGTCTGCGATATAGCTCTCTTCCGAGGAGATCAGCTCCTCAACAACCTTGCGACGCTGTAGTGATCGAAGCCACGCGCTCTCATCAAGCACAGGCCCTAGCGCACCACGATGACTCTCGAGTGATCTGCGCGCTTCGGAGTAATTGCTGCTTCTGTTACCCAAGCGAACCTTCCCTGGTACTCCAGCCTCTGAGCGTGGTGCAATGCTCGCGCTGCCGATGGTCATCGAAGTCGACTTCATTGCTGTCACATAGCCCATTGACGATGTCATAGACTCCGATGTCCTGCGCACAGACTCAGACAGCCTTCCCAGCGGTCGAGAGAGGACAGACATGCCATCAGCGGTGTCGAAGGATAGCCGTGGTATTTCAGCGACGTTATCCCTCCACCTGTGCGCGTGTCGACGCCTCAAAGTGCTCATCCACCGCCGAAAGGGTTGTGAAGATACAGAGATAGTCGCAGGCGCTTCTTCGTAGTCTTCGCGCGGCTCATCTCCGTCATTATCGGTGAAGCGACCTTCTGGCAATGGCACGTGTATGGCTTCGTATAGATTGAACAGATGTGTCTCTTCAAAGTCGTGGTCATCAATGTCCATGTCATCAGCCGAGCTGTCGCTGTCAGAGGAAGGTTCCGCTATTCGCTGCGAGCTGTGATATCCTCTCGCATGCGGCCTTGGAGGGACTGTGAGTCTCGAGAAAGATGGCGGTGGTCGGTCAGGCCCACAGTTCCGCTTGCGTGGTTCTTCGATGACATGTCTTGTACTGAATGGGAAGCCGGCTTTCTCAGGCACGAGATCGAGGAGCGACTGAGAGGTAAGCGGTGGTGTGTTCTCGTTGCTCCGAGACCAGTCGCCTGCCCTAGTCGCCCCGAGGGAATACAACGAGCACGCGGAAGCATTGCGAGCAGTAATGTCGCTCAGTGGTGCCAGTAGCGTGTCTTTCTGAGGGGAGCAGGAGTTGAGGTATGGATTGTCGCTGAAGGACCGCTTGAGTGGGCTCTGAGGCCGGAGCGACAACACATATGCCATGTCCGTGGTCGTACGGTCGACACTGGATAGGACGAGTACGAAGGCTTTCAGCGCATGAGATAAATACTACTGCATCCAACGACGATGGCTTAAGGAGAGACAAGTGAGCTGCAGAGCGATAAGGAAGTTGGCTGAGGCATTTTGGATATGACTACTGGCTAGGACGGGAGGAAAGCGCAGAGGCGCAAAGTTCTCAAGAGCGTAATGGCGGCATCTAAGGGAAAGGGTCCAGACGGCGCGCAGTAAAGCGCATTCTACACAGGCTATTCGTTAGGGGCGAGTGGTGAGCCATCGACGAGGACCGCTAACATGGCGGCCGCGTTGCTCTCACCAAATCTTGGTAGTCGCGACTCACTATGACGGCGGAGATGCAGAACAAGCATGTCTGTAGCCGAGCCGAGCCATCGCAAGACTGAGCATACTAAGCAGCTGAAGCATACTCCTAATCTGGCACGCACAGAGGTCACGCGCGTGTCTTGAGGATAGTGAAGTTTGGTAGAGAAGTGAGGGAGGGAAAAGGAAGGCGACCGTCCTGGCGGTTTTGCCCCGCACAGTTCAAGCTCCCTCAAGCTCCCACCCCCACATCCAAGCTCCAGTTGTAGTAAGCATTCACGCACTCTCAACTCTGCGGCGGCGACGAACAATCTACACCATGGATGACATACACGCGCCAACCGTCTCGTCTGGGCCCACGTCGGCAGGCTACTCCAATGGCATACCAAAAGAGCAGCTGACGCTGCAGGAGCTCATGGCCGAGAAGGACCGAGTAGAGACAGAGTTGAAGGCATTAGGGCAGGTGCTGGATTCGGTACGCAAATCAAGGCTATGGGCGGGATAAGCAGTTGACGTCTTGTTGTAGCATGGCGTCCGCATGAGCACCGGCCTGACCACCCTGGACGGCTTTCCACGCAGTGATATCGATGTCCCCCAGAGTAAGGAGCGGTGATCTTCGAGGTCACTCAGGGTCGCTGACCGTCGCAGTCCGAACCACGCGCGCGCGCATCATACGGCTGAAGAATGACTACAAGGACCTCATGTCGCGCATCGAAAAGGGCCTCCACGAGCACCACGCGCGGCTGGCAGCGCAGGCGGGCGACGCGACGACGGCCAACGGCGCCCAGGCAGGGCTGAGCGCACCGCCTGCCGCACTCGAAGCGCCCTTTGCAAAGGTCAACAGCGTGGTCGCAGACAGCCCAGCAGCGACGGCCGGCTTACAGGTGTACGACACCATAACCAAGTTCGGCTGGGTGGACTGGACAAACCACGAGAACCTGTCGCGCGTGGCCGAGGCCGTGTCGCAGAACGAAGGAGTACGTCGCATCACGCTGCACAGGCTGCTGTCTTCAGTCGGGCGTGCAGCAGGCTGACAAGTGCAGATTCCCATTACCGTCAAGGCGCTGCGACCCAACCCATCGGGCGGCCCGGCAGAGACAGTTGAGATGCAACTCACACCGCGGAGGAACTGGGGCGGAAGGGGGCTGTTGGGCTGTCACTTGCTGCCCATGTAGTGTATTATAAATCACGAGAGACGTCGAGATACGTCGAGCTGGATGGGTGGCAGGTAAGGCTGGCGGCAGCGCGCGTGGCGCACTCGGTTTGGCCAACAAGCATAGCATGATACCCGGCGTTGTTTGCTTTGGGATGAAACAGGTCAAGGAATTGCTAGTAAATGACAATCTATGACTGCAAAAAAGCGCAAGGCAAACCCGGGCTGTTGAGACAAAGAAGCCTATAGCTGCCTAACGCTGCCTCTGCCTCTGCCTCTGCCTCTGCCTCTGCCTGCCTGCCTGCCTGCCTGTGAGGTCAAAATTGCGGAAGGCGCCAAGAGATTTACACCGCCCGGGGCGCCAACACTTCAGCACAACAAAACCTCTTCTTGCCCACCTCACGCCCGCTACTTTCCCCACTCTTTATCACCCGTGAGTCTGCACCACCGTCTTTTGCTCAATAACCCTGTGCGACCCCGACTGACATCTTTTCGACAGCAGACTCTGCCCACTACCCCCCTCACACACCACATCACCCCGCCACAACACCCGACACCATGGCCGAGACTGCCGCAAGCTCAGTCCCTACCTTCAAGCTCGTGCTTGTCGGTGACGGTGGTACCGGAAAGGTATGACGCCCCTTTCGACGCTTTTCGCGATAGCAGCCCGTCTCTTGAGACCGCCGCGCGACTGCGAGACTGCGAGAATTTGAGACTGCGATGCAGGTTGCTAACAGCCCCACCACAGACGACTTTCGTCAAGCGCCATTTGACCGGAGAGTTCGAGAAGAAGTACATTGCGACGCTCGGAGTAGAGGTCCACCCCCTCGGCTTCACCACAGTACGTTATCCGCCCCTCTGCCGCCCGCGACACGCCTGCTAACGAGACGACAGAACCTCGGCCAGATCCAGTTCGACGTCTGGGACACCGCCGGTCAAGAGAAGTTCGGTGGTCTCCGCGATGGATACTACATCAACGGACAGTGCGGTATCATCATGTTCGACGTCACCTCGCGTATCACATACAAGAACGTCCCCAACTGGCACCGTACGTGCGCCCACAACACCCCTTTACGCATTCGCTAACAGCCCCAGGTGACTTGGTCCGTGTCTGCGAGAACATCCCCATCGTCCTCACCGGCAACAAGGTCGACGTCAAGGAGCGCAAGGTCAAGGCAAAGTCCATCACCTTCCACCGAAAGAAGAACCTCCAGTACTACGACATCTCCGCCAAGTCCAACTACAACTTCGAGAAGCCCTTCCTCTGGCTCGCCCGGAAACTCGTCGGCAACCAGTCTCTCGACTTTGTCGCCGCCCCCGCTCTGGCGCCTCCCGAGGTCCAGGTCGACCAGGCCGTTCTCGACCAGTACCGACAGGAGATGGAGAACGCCGCCCAGATGCCTCTGCCCGATGAGGACGACGCCGATTTGTAGATACGGTCATGAGCTTGCTCTAGGCCACGGCTAGGGCTCTAATGGGTATACGACATGGACGAGATTTAGTGGAATGGGACAACGGATATGCAGCTCGAGAATTGAGGACATTCTTGGCGAAAACGGGGCATGCGGAGGAGGACTGGCGGAAGTATCCGACAGGAAGCGCTGGACTAGCCGGCGTTTCGACGAATGAACAATAGACTGTTCCTGATCAATCAGAATATTCAGAATGTGATGGAGAAAGCTTTTCGATTCTACTATTAACACGCACAAGGGTGTTGCGATTACTAATACAACAGCACATTTCGTATCTTCATTATATTCCAACTCCGCTTGCTCGGACTTTTCAATGGAATGCGCCGCCCACCGCTCAGACACGATAGAAGAAATGACGCGTGATGTCAGTATGCTCATAATACGGACAAGCAGAGTCGCATAATAGCGAATCAAAGCGACGACCGAAAAATTGACAAGTACAAGGCTCGCTCGCTCGCTCGCTGTAGTCGGGAAACGACCGTTTTTGACGCGCGCGACGGAGACAACGGATGAAAATGATTACAACGCGCAAGCAAAACAAGGACGATGCGAGACATAACGAAAGCGAAAAGACAACAAGGTACGTCTACGATTTCAGCATCCTGCGATGATGTTAGCATAAATCCAAACACAGCAAGTAAGTGTAGAAAAGAAAGTGAGTACTCACGGAGCGATCAACTGCGCATACTGCTGCGTCGGCACACTCCTCCCCTCCTCAATTACGCCCCTAATAACATCATCCTGCTGCAAATTGCTCCAAAGATGTATTGACATCGCCTTCTTACTATTAAACAGCGTGTGCGCCACCCCCCTCACCTGCCCCAGCACCACATTCGCAATCGGCCACGTATTGCTGTATTGTTGCAGCGTGCCGACATCAAGCCGGATGCTCTGCTTGATGATGTCGTCCTGGCCGTCGGGGACAAGGAAAGACCAGTAGGAGAGGTGCACGACAGACGCCATTACGACGACGCAGGTGAAGAAGGGGGTGTGGTAGAGTAAGGGGCCGGGTAGACGGATTAAGGAGGAGATGTTTTCGGCAGAGGTGAGGCATTTCGCGGTGTGGATTTCGCGGGTTTGCGTGGGGAGGAGAACTTGGCCGGGTTGGACGCATATGTTTACGCCTTCGACGCGGCCGAAACCGAGGTTGCTGCGCGGGCGGTGCAGCATTATTGTGCTGCCGGCGTTTACCATGTGGGCCTGGAACAGCACTTCGTCGATGTGGCCGTCGTTGGAGACGATGTCTGTTTTTGAGGCCGGGAGGTGTAAACGCC